ATGTTGCTTCATGTTGATCGAATGCCAATGCTCAACATGCGACACACCAAAGATAAAGTCCAGCACTTTCGGCGATCCCTTCTGCGACTTTATAAGCGCCTCCGGTGGATTCGGATGCACAGCGCGAAAGTCTGCTTCCGAAATACTAGCCTTGGAAGGGCTCTGCGGAAAGACACCAGAGCCGTAGGCAAAGCAGTACATTATCGGCGCATTGAACTGCCGCAGCATAAGGCGCAAAGCTTCCTTGAGCTCATAGTTGATGATCATGTGTTGGTTCGCGCCGAAGAGTCGATGTGGTAGGTCGGCGAAGGACTTGATGGAAGTGTCGAGGTCTTCCCATTCGCTGCTGAAGACATTGAGTTTGTTGGTTGGTGTTGAGGATGCGCTGCTTGCGATGGATTCGTTAGAGCTTGCACTTGAGCTTGAGCTTGAGGTGGAGGGCTTTGTTGGGTTGGAGTAGTATCGTGTGTATTGTGTTGGGGCGATTTGTCGTAGATGGTAGGATCGAAGGGATATGGCGCGGGTGGTCACGGAGGACTAGAGATGTTAGAGCACAACGGAGAGCTAGGGGGATATAGAGCTTACCCGGAGGCCAATTGAGGCCATTGTTGCAGACCAAAGTTCTCGACAGATGATGCAAGAGGTTCAGTTCAAGGTTACAAGCTTAGAAGGTTGTAAGAGGTGATGTTACAGCTGAAGCTCTCGATGCCGAGGTGATCTGCTGCCGCGGAAGCTTCGGTCCCATTCACTCAAGACCAAGAAGAGCTATAAACAAGCGCAAGCAAAAAGGAACGAATAAAACCGTCGTCATTCAAGAATCGACGTCAGTGGAGCTCAGTTTTGTAAGCGGATGGATCGCAAACTCGACTTCGGTGATCGTCGGGTCCTGGAGCTTGACACAAGGGAAAAGAAAGAGGAGTGGGTCATGAGGAATGTGGGATGGCCAATCAGGAGAGGCTCTGGAGACGGGACAGGGGTCCATCTTTATCAGGTACGGAAGACGTCACTGGGATGATATCGACTTGGCAGGCTTAGAGAGAGCGGTTTGCAAGGATGCGTCATTATGGGGGAGTGATTGGAGAAGTTTCTCAGGGGGTTAGGGATATGTCTGGCCTGAATCTGGCTTGGGATTGGACCGTTCAACGGGTATGTGTAAACTCAAAGAGCTATTGTACTGGCGAAATGCTATCAACCTACACTTAGAAGATGTAACAACAATAGAACCATTGTTGACCAACCCTAGTGCTACAACGATAGCAGTTGACTAACACTCTGTTAATTGCAGGATAGAGACTAACCCTAGCGTTTTCAATGCTAAATTAGCATGCCGTTATACGCCTCCAGAGTTCAAGAAGCTTCGTGGAGCTTGATACAGAGCTTCCTCTGGCATACCCTACACACCACCTGGAAAAGTCTTGGGCAAATCTCTAGGCCAAAACGCTTTCTGGGTATAAGAGCAACTCACAACACTACACAAACACTCAATTTATCTCCCTAGCAAAGCTTCTTACAAATCTTCTGCAACAAACGACCTACTCTTGTGCCGCAATTCTCTTTGAATCTCGAAGCCCACTCTTGAACGCAAGGACCAGCCGAGTCACGTGATGACCTAAGCTACCGTGGTGATCGCAAACAAAGCATCTTCAGACCGCGATCTTTCAATCATTCAAGCAACGCAACCCACAAAACTCGGAAAATGCGCTCCTTTACGCCCAGTGAAAAAGATGGGCGTGGGAGCAGACGAAGCTCTGTTAATGCCAGATTCCGAGCCAGTACGTCTGCTATAGACAGACCTCAGACATCACTCCGACAGTCCAGGGTAAGTCAACACAAAACAAAACAAACATTCCCGAGCTCGAACATATGTTTCTGACCGCGAACCTTGGGTGCAGATTTCCTCTTTTCGCTCGAGTACACAACCGACATACAATCTACTCACAGGTGATTCAAATATTCCTCGACCTCAATCTCGACAAAGCCACGTCGCCGAGTCTGTCCGTCCCGGTTCGCGCGAAAGTCATAAGGAGAACATGGCGCCCCCAGACGCGGACGAGTACGAAAAGTACAGGCGAGAAATCGAGTCATTAAAAGCTGAGATTGGGACGCTGCAATATCGAATTCAGACTTCCGAGCAAGAGAAAGAAATTGCGACGTCAGAACAAAGCAGCAAATTGGAGCAAGCTCGACGGCGGGAGCAAGATGAAGCGCAGCACAGACAAGCCGCTGAGGCTGAACGCGAAAAGGCGGTAGCGCAAACAGAAGCTCTGCGAAGGGAGCTGCAAGACGTTAAAGACTCGATTGATGGTGATAAGAAGCAACTAGAGCGCAAGACTCGTGAAGCGGAGGATGAGGCCCGATTGCTGCAGGAACAGCTTGAGGACTTATCCACAGCGAAGGACGATGCTGCCCGAATTGCCGACCGAAAAGCCACAGACATGGAGATGCAGATTGCCGCGGCGCAAAAGACAATCCAAGAATTTGAGCAGGAGAGTGAGCAGCGGGAGACTGTGCTGCAGCAGACACAAGCTCAATTGGCCGAGAAGGATGGAGTGATCGCGAATCTCGAGGCCGATGTCCTACGACTCAAAGCGCAAAGCGGCGATGCAGAGACGATGGAGATTATCCGACAGGAACTTACCGAACAAGTTCAGCATATCCGAAACCTCGAGGCGACGAATCGTGATCAGCTCTCCGAACTTAAGCACCTACGAGCGTTGAGCAAAGCAGTCGAAGTTGTCGAAGAAGAGAAGCGAACACTGCAGCGAAAGTTGGAGGCGGCGGAATTGGTTGAAGAAGAGCTTGCCGAGGCGCGTATACAACGACAACGATTAGAGGACGAGCGCTTGGCCTGGTCAGCGTATCTTAGAAACGCGGCCGAGACAGACGAGTCTGAGTTTGACTCCCCAGAAGCTGTTGCGAGAGCCCTTGTCGAGGAGCGCTTGACGAATGCCTCGTATGTCGAAAAGGTGGGCGCTCTACAGGCTGAGATCACTGCTGCGCAGAATACCATCCAATCGCTCCGCGACGAGCAGGCTCAACTTAAGAATGAGGTTGAGAATGCAAAGACTGTGGCAAATGCTAGCAACGCCGACAAGGCCCGAATGCGACTGGAACGCCAACGTGCCCTGGCCGTCAAGGAAGTCGAGTACCTCCGCGCACAGCTCAAGACGTTCGATACCGAAGATGAGACACTTCAACCAGAGCAATTCGACCAAGCCCGTGTACAGCGCGTGCAAGAGCTGGAGGATCTTGTCGACAAGTATAAGATGGAAGTCCAGAACCTACACGCCGAGTTATCGTCAATCGAGCCCTCAGCACCAAGCACACCCCAACCCACGACAGGAAGCAAGCGCTCAAGAGCGGAGGATGACAGCTCTCAAGAGCAACTCGGTCAACTCACGCGAAAGAAGCGCATGCTAGAGGAGCAATTGACAAAGTCGCAAAACAAGATTGCCCTGCTGGAGAAGGACTTGTCCACCAGCAAGGAACAACTGAAAGCTGCTAAGCAACAAACGCAAACGCGTGTTTTATCACTCAAGTCCAATCCTACATCGGACTTTGAAGCCATCAAGCGCTCCACCCTCGAGGCACTGAAGAAGGAGAACGAAGACCTCCTCGCAACCCTCCAATCCAAGACCGCCAACTCCTCCGTCCCCATGATCCCAACCTCCGTCCTCGCCGCAATGGAGCGCGAAATCAGCGCCGCCAAGGCCGAAACCGCCTCCGCCGAGAAGCGCACGCGCCGCCTGAAAGAAGTCTGGGGCTCCAAGTCCCAAGAGTTCAAAGAAGCCATCTTCTCCACGCTCGGCTGGACCGTGACGTTCATCCCCAACGGCAAGATGCGCGTCGAGAGCACGTTCTATCCCTCGCAGACAGACGAGCACGAGAACTCGATCGTGTTTGATGGTGAGCGGGGTACGATGAAGGTTGGCGGTGGGCCTAGGAGTGATTTCGCGAGGAGGATCAGTGACCAGATTGGGTTCTGGGTTCGGGAGAAGGGGTGCATTCCTGGGTTTTTGGCGGCGCTGACGCTGGAGTTTTATGAGGAGCATACGAGGGCTTCTAAGTAGGATGGATGTGATGATAGTTAATACCCCTGTATATTTGTGCTTATAATGAAGTCAGCTGAGGATTGTATTTAGGTGACTCAGATGACTCTGTAATGTATCCGTGGACTCTATATATCTTCATGATATGGGCCCCAGATCGGCATTAAACTTTGATGCAGAGCTTCTTAACCGACACGCTGGCTCGGTTCCAAAATCCAGTTATTGAAACTGATGCTTTAGTTCGACTTGACCTTGATGTTGTGACTGGTGCACTATGGTGATATAAGGGCTCAGCCGTAGTTCTCAACTGCAAACAACACATCTAGCTCACGACTTTGACATGATACCACAACAACTGACCAAGTGCTACAGATTAGACGCTGATATGAGCCGTGAGTAGTCTATCAATGGCGAATTGGTCAACGGTCCAGGGATCATCTGGCCGACTTGAGTACCTTGCTGGGGAGGTGAGCTGTGTGCCATTCTTCTGGTTGCTACCTACCTATACCCAGCCAGTCGCAAACTCCCTGAGGACTCTAGCCCAGTTCTACCCAAAATACCAAGCTGATTAGACTGCGTCCATCTAGGTGTAGCATGTTGTGAATTACGTAGTGATTACGGAGAGCAAGGTGACTTGTGATAGTAAATCAGGAGATTGAACCCACGGATCTAAGGGTCAGTAAGGTACGTAAACTTACTGAAGTCTGTTCATCAATGGCTAAAAGATCTAAGTTTTCCTGCCTTCCTTCGCCTGGGTTCTTACGCATGCGCCTTGCACTCCATGGACTCGCAACTTCCTTCCCCAGCAGTGCCTGCCCTCGTAATACTTGGTTAGCTAGGTACCCAGGCAAGTCAATCATGGAGAGACATCTCCAAAGCAAACTTGTACTCTTCAAACATTTACTCTTCGTCCAGCATCATCATAATTCATCAAGACTATACCGCATCATATCAAAACATCATGTACGAAGAGGCATCAGACGATCCTAACCCTTTCCGTATCGTATCCAGACCTTCAGGACCTATAGGGCCTTCAAGAAGTTCAAGAAGTACAACACGCATCGTACTCAGACCTTCAGGATCACCAGGACCTTCAGGACCATCAACAAGTCCAACAAATCCAGCAAGTCCAGAACATTCAGGACCATCAGGACCTTCAACATGTTCAACAAGTTCAACAAGGAAAATACGCATCGTACTCAGATCTTCAAGACCTGTAAAACCTTCAACAAGTTCAACAAGTACAGCACGCACCGTACCTAGACCTTCAGGACCTTCAACAAGTCCAACAAGTCCAACAAGTCCAGAACATTCAGGACCATCAACACGTTCAACACGTTCAACAAGTAAAACACGCATCGTACTCAGATCTTCAAGACGTATAGGACCTTCAAGAAGTTCAACAAATTTAAGACGCATCGTACTCAGACCTTCAAGACCTGTAGGACCTTCAACAAATCCAACAAGTCCAGAACGTTCAGGATCTCCAGAGCCCCAAGACTCAATCATCGTCAAACCAATGCCAAAGCCATCTAGGAAGGTTGTTCCGACACCAACAGGCGGCAATCCTCAGAAACGGAAGCGTGACACTGTAACAGAAGAAACAGAGCAGCTTGAGAATACCCCACCAGCTAAACGTGCTCAGACTGATCAACACTCTATTACCAAGCCATCTGGGAAGGTTGGTCAGAAAATCACACCCGGAAATGCTCAGAAACGCAAGCATGACACTGTGACAAAAGAAACAGGACAGATTAAGGATACCCCACCAGCCAAGCGTGCTCAGACTGAGCAGCACTCTATTCCAACTCCTGTTGAGACACCCTTCAGTATCACTGAGCGTCAAGCCAGCAGTTCACCCCTTAAAACTCCATCGAGGGCTAAAGACATGACATGGCCTTCGCCCCAAGCACACCAGTTTTCAACTCCAGGACTACCAAGGCCTGGAATCATACTTGACCAAGACATCCCCAGCCCTTCACAGAAGCCAGAAAAAGCCCTGCCACCTAAACGGCCACACAGCCTTAGAAAATATGGAGAAGCCCTCCTCTTCACTCTGGAAAGAGTCAAAGAAGAATATCGTGATCAGTTGGTCCAGCTAGTGATAGCTAGGCCTCAAATCAAGGTAAGTTGCTCGGCCGGGCGCTTATGCGGATACCACGGGAAACAAACTCCTGTGGTCCCTGTGATCTATGAATGGTACTCGATAAAAGTAAACTGGCCACAGTTTGTTTTGGGCGACGGAGCTGGCCGACCGGCAGACATATACCACATCAGTTGCTGGGATAAAATGATAAATACAGAAGAACTCTTGCCAAAGAAGCTCTTCCCAAAGATGGTCGAAACCCAAACCGGGGATTTCCACAAGGTTGGACTTATGGCAAGACAGTGGCTGAAACACTCGGGAAAAGTCGATCCGAAAAAGATGGTCCAGAGACTTCATATAATCGTGGCCACTTGGAAGCCTGGAGTTGATGTCGCTGAGCTGTGGCGACTCGACCGTAGCCAATTTTTGGGGCACGTGTCGAAAGAAACCTGTAGTCTTTCGGATATTATCAAGGCGAGAGACACTTATGTGGGAAGTGATGGAAGGCTCCTTTGGTAATACGTAGTTACAATAGAATTATGGGATTATTGCAAGACAACTTCTGACACAGAATCAGGGTGCCAAAATATATTGGTCTAGAGTACTACCAAGATGTCCTTAACCTGCATCTTTTTGTCGTCTGGAAAATAGGCCCCAAGTTTCCTTGCCTCATTTTGATAGTTTCTAGATCAGATCTTGACGGAGTATGAGGTAAGATTTAGCAACCTCAAAGAATGATTGAAGTCGATTGAAATATCCCAGACAGCTCACTGCCAAGTTGGGCTTGGATTTGGACAGAGACATATTTCAACAAACTGGCTCTATGAGCTGAATCGTGGCCTGTTTGTTCGGGGTGATCACTGGCAGAACAAGAAGTGTTGAGAAATAAGATATCTAATACTTGGCATATAACACTAGATTATGCTTATCCTATACCTGATGGTTACAAGTGTATTGCCATCAACAACGTCCACAGCGCTTACAAAAGTCGCCCCTCTGCCGCTCTCTCCTCATCTTTGCCATTCTCTTGGCAGCTCTGTGTTTTTGCTTCTGCTTCTTCAACTCTGTAGCCGGCATTCTTCGACTCTCAGGGTCGTCAGAGCTTGTGGTGCTTGTTTCGGTGGATACGCTATCTTGTCTTTGTTGGGGGACTGGTTGGGAGAGGGGATGTGCTGGGGGATGGTTATGTCCTGGAAGTTGAGCTTGTCCTGGAGCTTGACTGTGCGTCGGAAAATGACCATGCCCGGGCGCCTGACCAAGGACGGGAACCTGAAGGTGTGCTGGCGCCTGAGGATATGCTGGAACTGCGTTGTTTAGTGGTGGAGGAGTGTACCCTTGAGGTCCGGCTGATGGTACAGAAGCATGGCGAAGTCCTGGAATCTGCCCTGGTATAATGCTTTGTTGTGGCATATGACTCTGCTGCGGAGCTGGTGGCTGCACATACGGCATCTGTGTTCCAGGAGGTTCTGGAGCTCCCATACCAAGCCCACAGATCCTTTGTTGCAAAATCATTTCCTGTTCTGCACGTCTTTGTTGTTCTTGAATCTCTGCCTCTTGCTGCGCCAACCCTCTCTCAACTTCCTTTGTCTGCATATCAATGACTTTGTTAATATTATCGCCAGCCTCGTCAAGCATACTGCTAACTTCATCTCTCCTTGCATTGACGACCTCGTCATATTCTATATCCTTCAGATCCATAAGAAGTTCAGCGCTGTGAGTCAAACTTGACATGAGGTCATTGACTATTTTCGCTTTGTTGAGGATTACCATCAACTTTTCTTTTGCGCTAGCATCTTGGGGCATAGGGAGGTTCATGCTACTCATGTTGTGGAAGAACTCTAGTTGAATGGAGAGTGCTTGGTAGGCTTGGTTGGTGAGGAATGGGAATGTGTCGATCAGTGAGTCCCAGGGAAGGTCGGCTTGTGACTGCAGGCCTGGGCCTGGGCCTCCGTTATTCATCGCCGTGTCCATATGAGATTGCATTTGAAGTTCTGAGAGATTTGAAAGGTTAAGCGGCACAGTTCGTTTCTGGCTGGCTCAGTCCCGTTCAAGTGTAGGAAAGGTCTCGCGCAAAAGACGTGGAGGGTTGGGCAGACATATCGTTCTTTTAGAGACATTGATTCAGAAGTGTGACTGACGATGATGCTTTGAACAGTTTGCTGTGTCTATGAACAAATAGCGCTTTTCGTCAGTAGTCAGTGAACGTGATGAGATAGCAAACTTCGGATGGTGTATCTCCGCAAGACAAAGGGATCGGATGACGGCCAGATGTAACACAACGAAAGAACTGACAAACGGCCCATGGGATTGAATCAGCTATACTTAGATGATTGTTATTTTATAGATCTTACCAAACTACGTCAATATTGGCATGTTTTCAAATCTCGGGGCATGATACAAAATTCCAAATTGCTATGATTAACTTTTCCATAGTCATACTCTAAGCTCTATATCTATACCTTCAGACCTTTAAACTAGAACAAAGTGTATCTCAATCGCTTCCACCAGGGAAACGTAGCGAGCTCTGTCCTCCAAGCATTGATGGCCTCCCAATCATGTTCACGTCGGCCCGTATCAATATCAATCTTTTCAATGCTGATCCAACTTGTCCTCTTCCAGAGATATCCTCCAGCCCAGAAAGCCAGCACGATAGGAAGTCCAAGATACTGCATGAAGAAGTCTTCGACAGTACCCATTCCGGACTCCCCAACAGGGGCGACAATGGCCACGTAGAACTGGGAAATGTTAGCTGATGTTTCAAAAATGAAGATTTGGAACTCACCTGAGCAATGAGAATGACAACAACAAAGATCAAGCCCAGCCATGATCCCCAAACGCCACCAATAGCCTTGAACGGGATTTCGTCGAGTGTATGGCCATTATACTTCCACGCCGCTCTAAACCGAATATGCGCAAGACAAATTGATCCCCAGCAAACGAGCATGGCCAATCCCGACAAAGCCAAAAGCCAGTCAAAGATGACAGGACCAGCTGCATCAAGGTTCAAGAAAGCAAGGCATCCAAATGCAATGATGAATCCAACAGAAGGCAGAGGTCGACCCGCTCGATCAACCCAAGTAAAGATCTTTGGCGCGAAACCCTGTTGTGCGAGCGCAAGAAGCGTGCGAGACCCGCCGTACACGGACGCGATGCCGAGGGACAAAACTGACGAGAGGATAACGGCGTTCATGTAGTGGTCGAGACCTTTTAGACCAGAATATTTCCCAACAAGGACGAAGGGCGAAGCTGCGCTGTTGGAGTACGAACTCGAGCTGAGAAGATTCGGATCGTTGCAGTTGATCAACAAACCAACGAAAAGCAGTGCAACGATGTAAAACAAGCAGATTCTCCAAAAGACCTGCTTGATAGCTGCAGGAACCGAGGCAGTAGGATTTCGAGACTCAGCCGCTGCCAAACCCACGAGTTCTGAACCAGCAAACGAGAACGCGGCTGTTACAAAAACAGAGCAAAAGCCCTTGAACCCATTCTTGAAAGCACCGGGATCATGCCACAGCTTAAAGCCCTGGTAGGTATCATAGCTCCCACTAGACGGACCCCCACCACAGACCAACACCAGCGCGATTATCATAAAGATAGAAATCGACGTGAGTTTGAAGCACGCCGCCCAGAATTCCTCCTCGGCGTATCCTAGCGTGCCGAACATGTTGAGGATGGTGATAGCAGCGAGAAACACGGCGATCCAGACTCCGGGGGAAACGTCAGGGGACCAGTACTGGATCGTAATAGCGCAGACTGTGAGTTCAAGAGGAAGCGTAGCAGCCCACTGAAGAGTGTAGTTCCACGCCATGGCGAAACCGAAAGATGGGTCGATGAAACGAGCTGCATACGTGTAGAAACCACCGGAAATGGGATACATGACGGCGAGTTCACCCATTGCGTAGACGACATTGAAGACCATGACTCCAACGAGGAAGAAGTCAATGAACAGCGTAGCAGGGCCCTGTAACAATTAGCTAATATTCGATTGAGTGACGGACTCACTTACACCTTTACTCAACGCCGAACCAGATCCAACAAAGAATCCAGCACCGATCGATCCTCCAATAGCCACCATCTGAAGATGTCTCGGCTTCATCTTGCGATCCAATTCCACAAGCCCAAGTCCATAATGCTTCCTCGTAAACGATTTTGCATTCAATCCCGTCCTCGTCATGAAATCATCCTGCTCATATTCTTCACCCGTTGCAGTGAAGGGTTCCTTCGTAGGAGCGCTTTCATCAGCCATTACGCCCTTTTCCCCAATCACGGGAGAATCAGACACGACTTTTTCAACAGCCATGATGACCAAATTCAAGGAATTACCTAAAAGACGGAAAAGAGTGAGGAATTAAAGAGAGAAAGAAGAAAAAAGTTCTTGCTAAATGGCCCCATTATAAAAAAGATGAGAGGCCCCATAGTAACAACGCTATTAGGCCCACACATGGCATGGTCATGACTCTGGATGCAAAATTTTCATTAAATCGCCTTTGAATCTCCACGATCTAAGGGGGGGAGTCTTGGGTACTACTCCAGATATTGAATTGGTTATTTACGTAAATCTCCATGGGGAAGGGTTTGTATTGATAACGAGGGTAAGAGATTTGTAGGTTTAGCAAGACTCCACATTGAAAGTTGGAGAAGACTGCGTATGCGTATGAGACAGCCAAACATAAAGAATCGAATATATTGGGAATATTCAATGGGACAGATTATGACTCTATGGTCTCTGAAGCATGTTAGTTCACGAGAAACAGAGATTCTTCAGTGATTCGATGGTCAAGTCCAGTGGTTCGACCAATTCGCCACTGTCTAACACCGAGGTCAAACTCTTACAACTGTAATCCGATATCGAGATTTTCGTTTATCAAAAGCCTCATCCAACTTAAGTCAAGGAATGATTCGACGATCAATCAAGATCTACCTCATTACGTTACTCCCAAGTCTAATAAGTCCACTCTTCGAGCCTCCAAGTCAGAAACATCCTTGTCTCTATAACGTAAAAAAGTTGCGGCTCAGCGGATCGTGGTGGAGCCATGATCGGAGCCGATGGACCGTCACTTATTCCCGAGTTGCCTCCATTACCCGGTAGGGTACGGACTAGTGCTACCTGTTTTGAGATAAGGGATAATAAACAGATAAATCAGCAACAATAAGAATGGGGTATCGAGGGAAATGTGAACCGCTTTAACTCACCAGAGCTGATGCATGCCCTACACAAGATCGTTGGGGATAAAGCCCTATTTGCATTATGCACCATAGGAGAGGTCGAAGAAACCGGTAAAATCTTATCCTCTGAGAATCAGTCACGACGCTCTTTTCTATTCTATCGGACCAAGAAAGGCAATTTCCGATTCACCTCAAGCGGCGGTCACCAGTACAGCAACTGGCTTGGCTACCTGGGACCAGTCGCCCCTGCAAACACTTCCATCTATGACTATTGTACAAACATGGCGAGATCAATTTTGTGTGAAACAGCGATGGTCCGTTGTCGAAAGCTATTTATGATGTATTAGGCTCATTATAGGGTGAACTGGTTCCGCAAATGAAATGCCGCTTATTAAGTTTAGTTGGACTAGCTTTTAGGAACTTGACACATTAAGTCGAGAGTTCTGCCGTGAAAGGCACTGACGGCAGTCAATTGCCTGTGAGAGCCTTCTCGGGAGACTCGGGAGGATCGTCGTGATCTAGCCAATGTTGAAAAGAGCTAGTGCCATGAGAGTCAAGGCCTCGAAATTATGGAGACAGAAGAACCTTATACCGAGTTGAAAGTGGGCAACGCGAAAGGGACATGATGATCCTCAAATACTACGCGGCTCGCGCTATTGGAATCTTCACTACAAAGTGTGCATTGAGTGAGTAAGGTAGAGTAGATATTAGGTGTAACTTGAGACGGCGGATGCTGTTACTTGTTTCAAGACGGAACGCCTGACTCTTGCTCGTGGACTTGAGGTCTATAGATGGCATGACTGCGCTTTGCACTATGAAGGTGGTTACTTCTATATTGATAAAAATCAAGCTAGTACTTCCATAAAATGGCCATCAGGAGTGCTTTAAACAAACGGGAACGGGACCATAGACTATCCATTCACGGCCAAGTAAGAGGACAAATGGACCTATCAAGGCACTGCCGAGTCGAGTTCGTCAAACTTGGTCGAAGGAATATATGCTGTTGAGGATGGGATCAAAAAGAACACGGAAATAGTTATCCTACTTCTCTTGGCATTATACGCGGACCGTACGCGGACCACAAGCGAACTTGACTTGCTAAATTCGTTTCCGGCCTGTTCTCAACTGAGAGGATGTAGGATCTATTTTAAGGCATGATTCCGATTGGAGCGCGTCCCTCAGTCCCATCAAGCGAGTACAGATGGCTTTGTGACTGGTTAAAACATATATCGCGAGTCATGATACGTAGTTGATGGGAATCTCATTCGGATTATCGGCGAAGCGAGAATCCACCGAAACGGTCATATATCAGTCTATGTAAAACCTTATTTTGACCGCTAATATTTGAGTTTGAGCCTTTTATGGGGTATTCTACCAATAGACGAGTGTAGAGCTTTCGGCAGTTGTACAAGTAGTTCGATCCCTGATTTGCCAAGAAACTAAAGTCCGATGTACCGATGACAAACCTATGAAAGTATGTGAAATTATAGGAGACTGAGTCTTGGCGATGCTTCTTGGCATCACTGTGAGAAGTTGGAGGATCAAGAGAACCTCGTATTCTGATCATGAGTCTCCTGAATCCTGACAAGTCCTGTGTAGTGATGCCTATTGAGAACGACTGGAGACTGTGGGACTGATGATCTATGCTGTTGACGTACTGAGGAGAGGAATTATTGAGCTGTAATTTTGGGTATAAGTATGTGCCAATGTCTCTTCAAGTGAAGAACCATCACTCGCACATCTCTCAACATCACAATCATTAAGCCAACACCTCAAAAAGCGACTACCAAGGTACATACATAGTCCTCGGAGTTTCTCACAGAGCCTAACAATTCCAGAACCTACCTTAATCCATCAAAATGAAGGTCTCAATCCTCGGTCTCCTGACCCTCTCAGCATTCGCTTCCGCCTGCGCGAGCTACGAAAGCTGCCACTGCTACGACAGCAACGGCATTCCCAACAACGGCGCCACCCAGGCCGTCTGCGACCACTTCAAGGGAGGAACAGAGCCTAACACGCGAGAGTACGGTGCCAACACCCAGTACAAGGAGTGCAACGTCAAGACTTTTGGTGGCGGTGCTTCTAGTTTCGATAACTGCGACTGGAGACGCAGATGTCAGAGTGCTGGCGCGACTGGTGCTGATTCTTCTTGCCGGAGCAAGTTTCCCTAGGTGTATTGTGAGAGATGGAAGCTTGAGTCGTTGTATGGAGTTCCAATGATATTGGTTTAAGCTCGGTCGACTATAGCGGTTCTATAGTCTATACTCAAGTTACCACCACAATTACCAAACTGTATATGATTGCATGAAGGCGTCGCATAAACACTGGAAATCAGAGTGGCATGCCGTGATGCCAGAGTTTTGAAGAAGCGATGAGTAAACACACCAACACAGGCTTCGGTCTTGATTAGTAATTATGTAGTGATCAAAAAAGTGTCGCCAATTATAGCTCATGAGCCAACTTACTAATCTTGGCTAGGTATCTGACGGTTATCCTGCAATCCCTCGATGAGGGTCGCCGAGGTCAATCAGTGACAACGAATGAGACAACCGTGCCACAAGAGATGGGGTCTGTCTTGTGATTCGTTAGCCTGCTGAGATCATGTTTTGCATGTGAGACACGGCATGCATAGTGATGGATTTGGAGCGTAACATAACAAGAGCTGGTATCATGAGTATCAAGTCGGCAGCATGAGTGTAAGTGTTTAGATAAAGGTCCGAGACAGATAAGAATATATCCGAGCTAGTCAGTAAGTTCTTAAACTGACTGGCAATATCCGCAGAATCTAGTCATCAAGGTTCCTTACTAAACAGCTGACTGATCACCAACTCAGAACTCCACCTCTAGTGACCACGCTAAAGGTCTGTAGATAGACTTCCAGCCACAGGCCGATCAGCTGCAAATAGCTCCAAATTAAGACGTCATAGCTAAATGCCTCAACAATTCATGAGGTCGCTCTGTCAATTGGCCTCCGTAGCATTTCAGCTTCAACAAAATTGCGGGGAACTCGCTGATGTTGCTCAGCAAATCTGACCACGTACGGACGCCACAGTAATCAGAATAGGAAAATGATTCGTCTAGTTTGAAAAATGTCTCTGAATTCAAGGCAACGGAGACATGGAATATGCACGACGATGCAGCCAATCAGACCATGACGCGTCCTGACGTGAGGGGAACATTACACAGTATTTAAATGCCTGTAACCCTCGAGCTTCCTAGACCCTTCAAACTCCCATATCCAGAGAACGCCATCGCAAACCATTTCAAAATGACAGTCCACGAAGTCAAGAAGTAAGCAGCATAATCTCTATATCCTCGCATGTCAAACTAAACAGCACACAGCCTCGCCGAGTTCAGGGATACCCTTGAAAAGCACACAGTCGTCCTCGCAGACTTCTGGGCCCCGTGGTGCGGACCATGCCGATTCATCAGCCCCGTTGTAGAGAAGTGAGTCCCGCCGGGCAACATGCATATGTACAACTCAGCTTACTCCTCATTACCAGGTTTTCGGAATCCACAGAATCTATCTACTTTATCAAGGTCAACGTTGACGAGGCCGAGGATGTGTCTCAAGAGTACGGCATCCGAGCGATGCCTACTTTCATGCTCTTCAAGGATGGCGAGAAGGCCAATGAGGTTGTGGGAGCAGACCCTTCCAAGCTAGAGCAGCTTGTCAATGAGTACAAGAGCTAGATATCTACTAGGAATACATTCCTCGGCAGAGGGGCATGCTTATGCCTTGACTGTTGTCTGTGAATAGTGGATGGTTTGAACCTCCAGTGACTCACAGACCTTGTGCTTCATCAAGTCGTATCTCCACGCTCATTTCAACTGTGAAAGTTATCTAACCTCTCCAGGTCAACGTGGGCGAAGTCCGTTGCCAAATCTTATAGCGCCCTCTGCCAAGGCACCAATTGTCTCTAATTGCTATAAGAAAAAGAAGAAGAAGAAAAAAGAAAAAAAGAGATGATGAATGTCTCAATGCAGTTATTGAATTTGCATACTGCCCTTGGGGTTCTCTTTGTTATAATTAGACTCAAGTTTCAGTTAATACACGATTAGCGGCATGTACCCCTATTAACTACAGATTTGGAGCTTCTCGAGTCAAACAGCAATAATGTGAAGTTTGCAAGACCATCATTTGTCCCTATTCATGCCCTGTCTCTGTGACCCTCAGTACCAGATTTTGGTCATGGAACACCATGTAGCTCTCTGACTTCATCGCGACCTCAGGCTCAACGAGCTGGAAATCAAAGACCCGGAGAAGCTAGCAACTGGTCAGTAAACTCTAACCACATCAGTAATTCAAGTAAATACCTCAAAAATAACCTTGTTCAGCTCCATGAACGCGATGGGCTTTCCAGCGCACATCCACCGCCCATATCCAAACACAATCTCTACATCACGCTTCATCTGAGCACTAGTCTCCTTATCGACTTCAAGATATCTCTCGGGTCTAAAGACTTGAGGATCAGGTCCGAAGAGTGCTTCGGAGCGCAGTAAGGCAGAAGCGTTGATGCCGATTGATGTACCAGGGGGGATATACCTCCCATGCATTGTTTCTCCGCTGGCTGGGACATCTTTGAAGAACATGCCCGTTGTAGCTGGACGGATCCGGATGCCTTCGTAGATCACTGCCTGAGAGACAATGTCAGCATGTTCGAATGGAATCCAAAGGGGGATTTACCTGAAGATAAGGAAGTTGCCGAGACTCGACGTCTGTGATTGGATTCGAAGCTCGACCTTCAGATACCGCCTCCGTGATCTCTTGTCTGAGGCGCCGATATATGTGAGGTGAAGCAACGATATAGAGCAGAATTACCCGTATAACAGTGGCAGTGGTTTCTGATCCTGCCACAAACATGAATAGAGATTCAGCCTGACACTCCTCCAGTCGTAAACCATGTCTCTTAAACGAGCCCTTTAGCCAGTCAGCGTATGATCTCCGTACCTAAGAAATGTCTCACCAGCATATCATGCTGCTCATCGGCTTCGGGAGCATATCGCTCGCGAACAATAGTATTTGCCACTTTCATCAGCGGGCCAATCCCCTTTGTATCATTCTCAGTCGGTCCAAACAGCTTCAGAAACATAGGCGAAAAGATCAAGTTTCTCAACCATGGAATGTCTGTTGCGAGCGTCATGACCAACAAATGTTCATTGAGCGCCTTGACAATCCCGTGAAAGTCAGAGTCAGCTTTGAGATACCCGAATTCTTGGCCAAGAGACAGATTCGATATGACATCGAGTGCAAAAAGACGTGTTACTCTTGTTCCCTCCATCGGACGATAAACTCCCTGGGTAGAGATGTATTTCTCCTTAATTAGCCGAATCAAACTGCCGACCTGTCTGTTGACTACGGCTTCGAGATTGGGAGCGTCGCGTCCACTGTAAGCGGGAGATAACTTTGCCTTGACCCGATCGTGTTGAACTGGGTCTGTTATCTGGAACATGGGGTCGTGATAAGGATTGAATTTGCCGCCGTGATACCAGTTTCCTTTGGTATATGTGTTTTTAGTACTTGAGACTTTTCGAATCAAGTCTGGGTCATCAACGAGGACCTCGTTTGGTCCAACTCTGACGAGAGGCCCATAGCGTCGATTGAGGTTGACCAAGTGATCATGCTGTGTTCCGGTGATGGTGATGTAAGCTACCCAAAGATATGAGAATTTACCGAAGAAAGGACCCGGTATATGTCGGAGACGATACCAAGCGAAAGCAGAAGAGAGAATGAACCAAGTAAAGAGGGCAACGGTGAAATACGGAAGCCATGTAAGGCCCCTTTCAAAGAATGGTGAAGCCATGATGATATACGCGCGATCTAAACAGCGACAAGAAAAACAGAAATGATCGGGAATATATAAAAAAGAATCACCTCAATCCCATTTTGCTTTCGATATCGGGCATATGAGATGGCTGTCTTGGCCATCGCAGCTGAAAATGAATAAGACCTGATTGGTAAGTTTACGACGACTGTGTAACCCCAATGATAGACGTGCAGCATGATTACGTGGTTTTCCTTGGTTTAAGGGCCTCAAACAAGTCACGGGATATGCGAGATGATATCAATGTCTTGAAAGAAGTAAATACATCTAGATACGGCGTTTCGTTGTCTCCAATAATTGGTAGATGATATTGAGGGTTGCTTAACGTGCATCCCAGAGGGGGAAAGATAACTCAGGACCGATCCTAAGTAATGAATGAATTTATGTAACTTAGTATGAATTTAGTATACCTTTACTAAGTTTAGGATACCCTTTACTAACTTTATTTCAACACCTTTTTGTTGCTCCCTGAGGGCATCGTCGGGTTACCTAACATGATGGATTAGACAGCGACTGGATCAACCAATCAGAATAGCTCGGATGGACCTTCAGATCTATCGCACGTCATCCGAGGTTTTGACTACTCAATAACGATCACTTCCTCCTCAAGAAGGTTGCTTTACATAACCGAGTAGTTTCCATAATTCATGCAACATTATCTTCCTACAGCACCACCGAAGCACATCATATCTTCATTTCGGGCTCAAGAAGAACATCCGGCAAAGGCGGGGTTGATGCGACCTTGAGATATCGAGACATATAATTTCAACATGTCCGACAGTCACTATGACTCTCAAAATGAGGACAAAAAGCCTCAAGTGTCAAATATGAGCGTCGCAAACTCCAACATTGTCGTGGTTGGTGGCGGTGTCGTCGGTGCTTCTATCGCTTGGCATCTCTCCTCCGAGACAAACGTGACCATCATCGCGGAAGATATCGGAGGAGTGGCCACTCCCAATTCATTCGCATGGCTCAACGCTGCTTCGTCGGATAAGAAGTTCTACTACGACTTTCGACTTCGGTCTCTTCAGCATTGGAGAGAGATTGAGAAAGCTGTTGATAACTTACCTATTCATTGGGGAGGAACAACGAGCTGGGATAAATCGCCCGAAGAGCTTGAGGAGGAGCAAAAGAACCTGACTGCTTGGGGATACGATGTCTTTCGAGTTGATAAGACGGAAATATCTAAGCGGGAGCCTCATGTTGAAGAGACGAAGCTTCCGGAATGGGGTCTTGGTTACGATCAAGAGGGAGCTCTGGAAGCTGACGAGGCGGCTGAGCTATTGATTAACCTCGCAAAAGACAACGGCGCGACAGTTCTCGAGACTAAAGTCACAGGCTTCACCAAGGCCGATGGCCATATCAGCGGCGTTACTCTATCGTCCGGCCAAACTATCCCCGCAGACCATGTCGTCGTAGCCGCAGGTCTAGGAAGCGTCCCTCTCCTCGCATCGCAAAACATCCCCCTCCCACTCAAAAGCACAGCCGGTCTTCTCGTCAACACGAAACCCACCCCTAAAAAGCTTATCAAAGGTGTAATCAACGCCCCCGAACTGCACATCCGTCAAACCCTCGAAGGAGCTTTGCTTTTCGGCTCAAGCTACGCCGGTGGAGACCTAGGCGATGATCCAGAAAAGACAGCCCGTGAACTCTTCACCAAACTTCAACAGTCTGTCGTCGGGGGGGATAAGCTTGAGTTTAGTCACTACACTATTGGGCATCGCGTATTGCCAGAAGATGGACTTCCGATTCTTGGAGAGACGGGATTGGATGGCCTGAGTGTCGCTGTGATGCATTCTGGGGTTACGAATGGGGCTCTTGTTGGGAAATTGCTGAGCAGGCAGATTCTCACTGGGGAGACGGATCCTATCCTGGAGAATTTCCGACTAGATCGTTTTGCATAAATGTGCGCTCGCAGAAGTTACATTCTCGAAAGGATGACGATCATACAACTAGTGCTCGTACTGTAGGATCCTTGCCACTTACGATTTATTGTTTTGAGTGCTGAGGTACCACTCAGTGAGTTGTAATGGCCACTCTCCAGTGAGGATGAAAGTCTATTAGAGGATAGAAAACTAAAGGAATTAAATCCTAAATAATAAAAGGATTTAGGGAATTTATATAAAATTAGGTAAGTTTAAATAAATCTTTTTAATAAATATATTCTAATACATTTTATGAAGTCTGCTTTTCTTGCTTACTGGGGTCTACCTACCTACCTATTCTGCACCGACAGCCAGTGTCATGAAGATTGCTCCTTCTCACCAAAGCAACACATTATCGCTCTTCTTATTTATTTAGAATGCTTTCGCAAACTTCGCTCTTCATCTTCATCATCATCATCATCAAAATCGCGATCGATAATTCTTCTTTTCCATAATGGCTCAGCCGTAAGTTATCGAGCCCCGACTCGAGAGGTTCTTGCTGACAGAATCTGCATCAAGGGTATTCCAATTCCCATATGGTGCTCCAGGTCAACAAAAACTACGTCTGGAAGAAGGTTTTCACGGGACATTTGCAGCTCGTAAAGCATTCATCGACATTACTTTTGAAAACAACATCCCTAGCACAAAATCACATGTGATGCACGTCACCTTCATGAAGAATGCGAATGTCAAGCAACGCGGAGTGCTCGAGCTTTACGACCGGCGTTACCCTGGACGCATTCGTCAAGCTAATGGCACAGCCGCAGCCACAGCTCCTTCGGTTGCAGAAGATGCTGCGTATCGGACACTCGTGCGTCAAGGAAAAATGGATGCTTTTTCGTTAGCCCTGAAACGCATCTACAAAATCGATCCCAAGACCTGCGCGAGCGACTTTCTTCACAGCCACAGGTTTGGCGGTGCCAGTTTTGACGGTGCCGAGTTTGATAGCATGGCAAGATTTGAAGCTGCTACTTGGTACGAGTGTGACCAGCACTTCAAGACCGAATTAAAGGCGTATAAAAAGCTGAAACGACTTCAAGGCACCAGAATACCACGCCTCTATGCACATGTGCGAATTTCACATGGTGACGTTCCCCAAGCTGCTCGAGACGACGCACCATGGGACCAATTTCTTTGTGTTCATGGTCTTCTACTAGAAGACATTCCTGGCCCCACACTCGAAGACTGGCCTACACCTGACATGGCGCCAAACATGTTAAAGATAGTAGCACAATGCGCTGCCGAAACGATATAGCAGATCAGTACATCGGGCGTTCTTCTCAAAAAGACTTGCAAAAATGTTATAATGAAGGAGGATAACGCCCACATCCAAACGCCCTTTCTCGTCGATTTTACTGAGGCTATGTTCAAAGAAGACTTGGACAAGCTTGAGATTAAGAAACTTTCCATAAGTCCCATGTTGTTTGCACATGTCCAAATCCTCCAGCCAACTTTGGAACGCGCATATTAGGAACAGGCGAAGAAGAGACGTTTCCTGGACTTGTTTGCTGAAAGCTTCGAGGAGATCCTTTCTCGGAAAGGAATAGGCCGAACTGGGGTTGTGATTCGCAGTTATCAGACCATAATTGACGAATTCGATCGATGGTTCCAGGGTGAACGGAATGTACGGCCTTCGTACTTAGTAAGGTGATTGAGAGGATGAAGTTGAATGCCGGAATCAGGGCTTGAAGCACTTACCTGTTGTACTGGGCTCGATCCCCTTTGTAGTCACAATACGTAGACATATTTAGTTGAAGGGCACTGCGGACAACCATTGTTTGTTGAATAGACTATCAGCTCTTTTCTTTTCTGTTGTAATCTACAAATCCTGCTGACGGCCCATCCCGACTAATCATGTAACCGAACCGATTTGGCTCATTGAGCACTAGTGATGGCATGTCCTTATTGTCTTCAATCCTCACAAACTGATCCTGTTCCCTCCCCCAAAGATCCTTGCCTTCTCTCACTGCAGCAGCAATTTTATCTCTGTCTCTATATTCCTCACGATTCATCCACCGATGAGAAAAGCTCGCCATCTTGTTGAGAAATTGATCTATAGTCGGAAAACAGCTGCTGCAATGCCAGCCGGCGTTAGTCAGCACGTCCCTCTCGAGGAAGCGAAAGGGACGGAAGCCGCCGTCTCCGTTGCGAAGGTTGGTGGGTTTGAGGGTTCGGTGTCCTTGGTAGTATGTCGCTTGAGGGTGCTGCCACTCTGGACCGGTATGGAGGAATTGGAATGAGTAGTAGTAGAATTTGGAGGAGAGTGTTAGACGGCGGGGAAAGTCGCAGTATTGGAGGACGAGGAGGGTTTGTGGACGGGGTATTTCATCGACATCGGCTACAATTAGAACGTCTCCTTTGTTTGGGGCTCTCGGCCCTTCGAGACTGAGCAGGACTTGGTCGAAGGGGGCGTCTCTTTGCAAGTCTTCGTAGTCCCAGGCGCGATGCGGGTCGAAGCTCGATGGGAAGACTAACTTGTGATAGATTATCTTGTGATGATATCGACGAAACCTGTCCCAGTTCTCTTTGAGGATAAGGGGTTTCGAGTTGGCTTGGAATGATTTGGCTGACTCGACGATGATGAAGTAGTCGACGTAGTCGTACAATGCATCGAGGCGTATTTCAAGGAAATCCAGCTCGTCGTTTATCATGAGCATATCGTAGACTTTGCGCTCGCTTGAGGGACTCTTGGGCACAAAAGCTGAGTAGCCATGGACGGAACAGAGATCATGCGCAGCCCTGGAGGCATAAAGCTCCGAAGTCTTCCGGTCATGATGTGGAGTCGGGCTCAGAAGGTCTATCGACTGTAGCGACTTGGTAAATACTGCACGAGAGCCGCGAAAAGGTCGGAACGTCAACCAGAGCAAGGAACAAATGCCAATGACTAGAATACCTCTAAACACAGCTTTCGGTATCATATTGACTTGATCATGAAGATGGAGAGCGAAATGTGCCCAAGACAAGAAGGATCTGACATTCCCCTTTGCTGTTACCTAATCTGACTCAGGACTGTTGGTCGCACACGGAAGTCGGCATTCATGGTTACATGTGATATCCTGCAGCCAACAACATCTGATTACTGTGATACGAGCAGGACATTGTTGACTTGAGGGAGTTTTAATTGGTTGGCGAAAGGTGAAACGATGTAGTACGCATAAGGGGACTTTTGTGCATCCTTTGTGATGATCAACCAACAGCATAGGCAGCCACGGTATTTCTTTTACTAATGGCATATTGCACCAAGAGGGCCGGGGAGACAAGAAAACTCGGGACCTTGATCCTAAATGACAAAAAGACTTAGGTACCTTAGCTTAAGCTTAGGGGACTCTTTACTAAGTTTATTTTAGCACCCTCTTCTAAAAATGTTTTCTTGCTCCGCGAGGGTACGATCTCAGTTTTAGGGTATAAGAATACTCGCTCCCTTGAGGCGTGGCCTGATCCAAATAAGCGGCAATTGACGAGTCCTGCGTTAAGAATGTGGGCAAATACAAGGTTGTATCATGACGGATGATCGACCGGGCACATTCCCTCTTGGCCAGCGGGAGCTAAACAACTGCCGATCCTAACCTGTCTCCCACGAATCGGGGCATTTTCTACGAGTAAGCATCCATCAATGCAACAGCGTCACTCACAACAGGAGCCACAGCTATCAGTGCGCGCCCTGGAGGATCTAGTCAGACGCTCAAGCGAGACCCAGGAGCCGGTCATAACGCGCTATGGCCGGATTGGCAAAAGGACCCCGATGTTGGCTGACACAGGTACTTTACGAGAGGTCCAATCGCCGATTACGCCGGTACAGGACCTTTTGTTATGCATAATCCTGGAGTGAGCCAGGGATAACTCACTTAGCAGGGATCTCAGCCCTGTCGCCGTTCAGCTTACCTGCGGCCCGTACTCTTTGTAGGGATGTTGGAAGAGGGGCTAACCGCTGATCTCGTCCGAGCAAGTTCGTTGAATTTGTGACGAAGCCCAAAAGGTCGAATTTGAGAGCGTGAGACTCATGTTAGGTAGAGGCAGCCATCCTGTACTTGCTAAGTCCAATGTTTCGTGACTAGAAAATGATAGAGGGCGGTTGTACTAATACAATGCTAGTCAACTCAGAAGGTTCTAGGTAGAGGTTGCTTTAGGTCATTCTATGGACGATTAGTTGTAATCCTTAACATGCATCAAGGTAGCTCAGCTCACATATCTGCTTACCAGGACCATCCAAAGATACATCTTGTCTCTGAATACATGAGAGATTTTTGAGGCCGACATTCTATTTTCCTTTTCCAGATCATCCAAGCTAGGACGAAGTGATGTATCGATCCTATCGAAGTCTGACATGCTTCCCTCTTGAACTTTTACGTTCCTTGGCTAACATATGTGTGTGTTGAGCTATGAGTGAAGCTAAATACTTAGGTATACCGCCCTGTGACGTTGATATTACTTCAAACTGAACTAAAATGCTCATCGAAGGCTTCTGTGCACTTTGAAGCACGAGGCATTCTAATGACAGTATGTGTACCTCTCTTTAAGAGGTTCAAACAGATAGTCGTATGATGCTGCACTTCCACGGACCGTCGGTGCTTAGAATCTGATGTGCATCTGCTCCAGACGCACTGAGGCTTACCAACACGAATTCGCCCCCAGTATTGAACATCAGATGCTTCTGAGTGACGTCGAGAGGTGAATCCTTATTGCCGTAGTCAAGAATGTCTCCGTGCAAGATGTGAGGATTAAGTTGAAAGATATACCTCATTTGAGTCCTTCACTTGTCAGCAACGGCATGCCACCATGTGATTTCCGAGTGCCAATTATTTACATCACGGTGACAATCGCTCTCCTCTCAGCTATAAAAGCTCCCAGTAATCACAACTTTACCAGAGATCACCACAAGCTTCTCCCTCTTCAATAACCACTCCATCAAACACAACCCCTCAAAATGAAGACTGCCTTCTTCAACATCGCCGCTCTGGCCCTCACCATCTCCGGTGTCTTTGCCAACCCCGCCCCTAACGGAATGGCAGTTGACATCTCCGAGCGCGACGGCGTTCTCCAAGTCCGTGAAGTCGTAAGTCCACCTCGCATGTCCAGCAAGTAACTCAAATGTTGATGTTTAAAGCCCCGTGCCGAGGCTGGGATCCAGTGCAGAGAGTGTGTTCATCTCGGTGGTCGCTGCACCATTGGCGATGGAAGCTGCTATGCTTCTGAGCATGCTAGTTGCCGCTGGTGTGGCAATAACTGCAAGTCTCGATGTATCGGTGATGGACAGACTTGTGAGCAGTGGTGTCTTTAGATGCCAGACAATTGATCGTATCTGGCCTTGGCGCTCATTTGCACGTATGGATGAGTGGTGGAAGAAAGATAATAGGATCACGCTCTTTTAACATGACAGATACTTGGAAACAGGCTAGCTAGCTTAGTACACTCGCTTTATTGAAGTTATTGTTATATCTCTGATCGCATTGGGCACTTTTGATCCTGACATTGGACTATGCCTGTTCTGGGTGAATGATACTGCAGACTAGGCCCCTCGAAATGCTGGTGTTGCATGATTCGCGCCTCTGCCTGATATCCTTTTGACTCTGATCAAGCTCTTTCAAGATCAGACCGAGTCCAATTTCCTTTCCATCCTTCGCAATAGGAACCATCTTTCCATCCCGTTTTCTGAAGCGACCGCTTACCAAAACCGCCTCGATATCGCGGGCCTCACTGTACGTCACAATCGCCGCGACTGGTTCCTCCCTCGCCGATGCGCCAAATGCCAAAGATTGATCTCGGGAGAATATCACAATATCGGCCCTTTTCCCAACAGAAATAGACCCTATCTCACTCTCCATACCAACAGCCCTCGCAGCTTCAATGGTCGCTTTGTTGAATACATCATGACTCGTTTGATCGAATTTATCGAGCTTTTGGCCTTTTTCTTTATCCTCAAGAGTCTTTTGGAGACGGGAGAAAAGGAGAGCGGTTCTACCTGCTTGCATAAGAGATGACGATGTGAGACAATGACAGTCTGCGCCCAGGGAGGTGGTGAGGCCTGGTTCGAATAGGAGATGCCAGCCCATTGAACCTTGAGCTTCTGTGGCTGGTGTGCATGCTAACGGGACACGATGTTTCCTAAGAATGCCGAAGTCTTCATCGTCCATGTAGTTTCCATGCGAGATGACAATGGTGTAGTCATCTTCTGGGGTGGGGAATAGAGAGTACTTCTCAAGAGCCTTTGGCACAGAGGATCCTATTTTGTCAGAATTTGTCATATTATTGGTCCTTTTGGCTTACCGAAATTGCCGCTGTGAGATGTGATGAGCTTGACACCAGCATTCAGCGCTCGACGGAATAACTTTTCGACTGCCTGCTGTGGCATATGATATCCATCGAACGAAAGGCCAACGTTCACAAGACCGTTTCCAAAAGGACCTCTCTGGGCTAGATCCTCGACATGCTTGATGAATGGCTCGGAAATAGACATGGCATTCGGGACGCATGATTCGGTATCCCATTTCTGGAGATTTAGGAATGTTTCTCCGTATGCGAATATTCCACGGATGCCAGAGTCGGAAAATGCAGATATAGCAGACTCGGCTACTCTCTATTAGTCGTGATAGAGTGCTGCGATGTTATAGACGTACCGTGCTCGGGAGATTTACAGCCGTGGCAGTGATCGAGAACGAATGTCGTTCCGGCGTCGATGGCTTCAAGACAGCCTGCCAATTGGCCCCAGTAGATATCTTGAGGGGTATAATTGAAGGATTGCAAAAGATCTAAAAGGTCAGCTACGTTATTCAACAGCTAGATATGTACTGACCATCTGAGAAGTATTCCAACCAGCAGTTGTCTGTTCCATAGCCCTTCAGCTGCGTCTGCCAAAGGTGATGATGAGTGTTAATGAACCCCGGGCTAATGATCTTGTCGGTGCAGTCGACAACTTCAGCATGAGGTGGAGGCTTGATTGATTTTCCAATTTGTTTGATAATGCCGTCTACTATCAAGATATCGGTGTTCTCAACGGCTCGAACAGAATCATGTTCGCCATGTTGAATGACCAAGCCATTCTGCAAAAGAAGTGATTGAGGCATGTCGATCTATGATGAACTCTACAGAATAACTTATTCATTTCCACTTCCTCCCCTTTCCTTTCCTTTTATATGCAACACAGCCAGTTAACTACTCTCCTCATTTTCGCCAAGGATCAAGCTGTAGGTGTAAAGTTATAGCAAACTCGGCATGTCAAAGACTGATTATCACGAAACTGGACCTAGAGTTGCATTAGCCTTGGTCAAGCGTCGGAGAACCATGTGGAGGAATATTACGAGGTTATCTGTCAGCAGATTCGGATCTTGAAACGAGACGTGCGTTGCCAGGTTCGTGTTAGTCCAGCCAAGTCGGGGTCTCGGTGTGCTGTACTTGGCGAAAGGCCGAGAATAAACACGAGTGCCGATGCGTTTTTGTATGGCGTATCGGGACTTGTAGTCAGCGAGTGCCGACTTCTCTCCACTTTGCTTCCCCAGATTTCATGTCGATCAAGAAGGATTATGATTAATTGTGGATCTGGCTCGTTCTGAAGCGTTTTGAGTGTCCATAATTTGACATGATGGTAAGAAATAAGACGTTTGTGATCATGACTGAGGTTCTCTTGTTCGGGATGTGGGGGTTCATATCGGGGTACATGCATAGCTTGGTTGACACTTGCGTTCTGTACGCTGAGAAATATGTCGGCTGTTAGCAAGTCACTTCTACTTCAAGAAATCGATCTTATAATAAAGGCCTTCCTTCTTCTTATTGTTGAAATGTTCAGCATCATGATCTTTGGGGATCGCCGTATTCTCCCTGTCCCGTGTGAATGGAGTCTCATTAGCTACCTGCGCTTAGCTCTCTGTCCACTAACCCGCAATCCACTTTCACAATTTTGGTTTGCAATTGGGTCAGACAACAACAAACATCCGACAGTCAATAGAATCGTAAACGCAACATCCGAGCTACAAAGAATTCAAGAATTCTCCTCAGCAGCTGATTTATAAAAGTGGTAAATACTATACGGATAAGCTTATTCAATTGAGTTACTGCCCGTCGCATCATCTCAAGCAATGCTACCTCATGGGTCACCATACGCAATACAACTCTATTCGTGCGCCGTTGAAGAGCTTCCCCGAAAGTCAAAATATAAAATCACCCTGTGAGAATTATAGTCAATCGCATGACTCGAAAGAGCCATGATGTGTTGGTGAGCATACGTTACCTACTGGCTAGAGAAACCTTGGACTCCAAAGGAGAATGCCAAAAATGCTAGCTTGAAAGGTCTCCTGAATTTAAATTAAATCTCTTCAATGTATAACAACGTTATCCATGTCCTTTTTCCCACGGGGATACATTGCAAAGGCAGTTTGGCCTCCTAGGTATGCCAAGTCTCGTTCAACAGCGGTCACAATGCAATATTCAAGGATCATGCAAACCTGTATCCGCGAAGCTGGAGCCAAAACTGCTTGGGATACCTAAGAGAACATATGCAACTTCTACATACGTAATAATCAGTAATTGTCCAATTTAGAAATCATCAACATGTTCTTCACTGCCCAGCAATGGCAAGGTCGCGTACCTTACCTAAGGTACCTACCTAGGTACCTAGATATGATTGTCACTGATTCATGTTGCACAAGATATATGTGGGTCCCCTGCCACTGCCTCGAGCGAACTCTCTCTTAACCTGTGTTCAGCCTTCCTCGCCCTTTTTCCATCATACCACGACCTCATCTTCATCATAGAATTACGCTCGCGATGGATCATATTCCCAACGAGATTCTGAGCCATATTCTCAGCTATCTTCTCACCGACAGACAAAAGCACCGTCTGCACGAAGACTCAATCGATGACATCTTGCCCGTTCGCCTCGTCTGTCGCCTATGGAATGATCTAGCAACCAAACATCTCTTCCGAACATTCACGCTCTAGCAGAGTGATCACACTATCGAACACGACTTTACTTCCTGGCATCAACTTCTAGAAACAGACTCTATTAGGGACGCTATCCGAAGCGTCAACATCGAAACCGCGCCGTGGGATTCTCAGTTGCCAGACGGCGGTACCATTCTTGTTTGGCCGGATTCTTGGCTCGAAAATGGTCACTGGCCTGAGTTGGTATCCGCTATCAACCGTATCCGCGACATGCCAAATCTCAATTCCATCACTTTGCGCTTCTCCTTTTTTTGCGTAAATGCATACCATGACGATACAGTGTTCCAAGAGCCCTCAGGAACACGCCGAAGGACTCTTGAGATTGTATCAGAAGCACTGCGGGATCGTGAATCCCATCCCGGGAGAAGTACCATTCGAGAGCTAGTCTTGTGCAACCTTGAGGATACCCCACTGCCAACAGATCTGACCCACAGTTTATTACGAAACATCGACCGACTACACATGCGCTTCGTTTACGAAGACGAGGATCAAGAGAGTAACGTGTTCTCAAAATATTTGCAAAAGACACTATTGCCTTCGGTCGCCGAACGGCTGGTTGAGCTGACCCTTGCTGGTTGGCTCTGGGGTGCTATCCCAGCCGAATTCAATCCTAAAGGTCTATCATTTCCACGACTTAAACGACTGAAGCTGGATAAATACATCATTCTTCGACAAGACCAATTTGATTGGGTGCTTGACCAGCGGTCCCTTGTTGATCTTCAGCTCTACAATACCAGCATTGCGACACATTGTGCTTTACTTGCTTCAGATCAGGACGATTTTGAAGAATGGGGCGTCAACCTACATGGATGGAAAGAACTGGCAAACAACCACGAAGTGAACGGCCCACCCATTGGTTCCATTCTCAACATGCCACATTATGGAGAACTCCGGCCCGGTTGGTATATGAGTGACTTGCGATGGTCCAACATGTTCGATCGCATCCAGCAACATTTGCCACTGTTGAGAAACTTCACTTTCGAACTTTCAAAGTGGGAAGATTTCTCAGAACACTATCCAGGGAGCCCGGGCATGTACTGTATGGACGAGAGGTACTGGACTTACGGGGAAGGAGTCTGGTCAACGATGTGGTATAAGCCAGCAAGGGAGCATGAGTGGACAGCGACTTGCTTTTTTGAGGACGACATGGCAGGAACCCCAGTGGGTTTATACGAGCGTACTGAATCAGCTGATCGACAGGCATTGGAGAAGTTGATGGAAGTGACACGCAAGCGACGTGAGGGAAAATAGTGCGCTAATGGGGGGAGATCATCCATGAGGTAAAGCGGTTAGAGGAAGAAAGCTTGAGGCCTTTATTGCAGGTGAAAACATGACAAATCAAAGCCCTTCTATGTTATCCTGAACTTAACTCGGGGTTTTGTAACTTCGAGAGGTTCTAAGTCTGTTTGCTCCTTGAAGCGTGGAATAAGTTGGGGAATTGTGATTCATTTCCATGTATGATGTAGACTGTGGTATCTATGACAAACAACAATCACCACTCTCAAATACTCTCACCTCACCAATACTCCGTACACCGTCCCAGAAACATGGGCCAAGACTCAAGGATGCACAAGTGAAACCAAACGAGGAAAAGCCTCCAACCAGGGTGGTCCTAGTTCCCAATTATTGAGATCACATGCAATGGCCTCAAACTCGGGGCTTACGCAAACCTGACCGCCTTGAACAGCCATCAAAGGACACCCTGGCGGCCACTTCAGCTGAAGAGACTCGAGGTATATCTTGACAGAATGCCTTGACTTGATACGTGGATTCGTACACAAAAAGTCTCGCAGGTCGGGCCAAGGGATGTAATCGATGCTCACAGGATGAGGATATGTATTCTGGACCTCGGTAGGAAGCAGCCACGGCGGTACATCCTTGAGAGTCATAGGATCAGGATGTAAGCGCCACTACGCGAAGGATTAGTATGCAGGAGACAATAAGGCAAAGATGAACTTACTCTCATGAGACGATAGGCAAAGAAATACACCCCGAACAAAGTCTCCACACTAGCCATCTCAAAACCCTTGAGAAACGAGGTCAGAAAACATGTGACTGCATTATCCCCGTAAGAGTGAAGCGTCATGTTAGGCAGCTCAGGGTTCCTCGGCAGGGACCTAGCGTGGAGCGGATCCTTGGGAAAAGCAGCATGGGTCTCGTAGAGAATCGCGAAACTCCGATACTCGAGACAATCGGCCTGCGAGTGATGCTGCACTCCGCATCGGCAATCGACGTGCGACGGCGTGGGGAACAAACTCGACATTACCTCCGGAACCTCGGCAGGCGGGATATCGTGGTGGTCTGCCGCACATGGAGCACCCGCCGGCGCAGCTCGTCGCCCTGCGGGGAAGTCCGGGGTCTCGACACTCGTGTCCATCTCATAAGCCTCGCCAGGGGGTTTCTGCGAAGATCTCTGCTGCAGGGCCACCAGATCAGCGCTCAACTGCGGGAGCGTCCGGAGCTGCGCGGAAACGGTATCGAGGTTCCTTCTGATCTGTGCAATGTCTGCTTCCATGCGCTCCATGCGCTGCTTGTGCTCCTGCCGGTTCTCCCTGTGCTTGACGCGATCTGCCAGTCGCTTCTGGCTCATCTGAGCCTCTGTGCGCACCCGTCGCTTGGACGAGCCGCTGGGTGGAGACGCGGACATGAGAGGTGAGTCGAGGTGGCTGAAATAGGGAGGTGGTCAAAAGGTCATATAGTCTGGCTGTCAATATTCGAAAGGGGATATCCACTGTTTTGAGCGAGGGTTTTTGGCGATGCCTTGCGTGATGAAAAGCTCAACGGTGAAGAAAGAAAAAAAAAAGGGGAGACGCGTCCGACGTCGACCAGTTAAATAGACTTGAAACGAGGTTACGATAACCCCGTGTCGTTTACTTGGCGCTGAAGATGAGAGTGTCAGGATTGACACTAGGAGGCAAGGTAACTATGTCAGGTGTACATACATACACGCACGTGTAGAGTAGAAAAGGGTAAACGGGTAGCAAAAAAGCGAGCGTTGAATTTCTTTGCTTTGGGTGTGCGAGTTTGGCTGCGACGGGAGGCGAAACGCGGGGTAAAGCGCCGAGATGAGCACCGGATTATTCCCTGTTTGGTCCTAGCGGCGCAGGGGTTTGCCAGGTCTGTTGGGGAGGAATTATTGGCGTGATTGGCTGGAGCTTGTGTATGATTATCAGGAACTTGATCTTGACAGTTGCCGCGTGCTTTAAGCATAAGGTTAGGCAGATTGGGTTTATCGGGTACCTACCTGGGTTATGTATGTTTTGTCGCTTCAGGGAATTTAACCGGTTGAAAGGGAGTGGTTGCTTGATGGAGGAGGTGAGGGGCTAACCCAACAAAGTAGAGGTGATCTTGCATACCCTGGAGCTGCATGAGACTAGGAACTATTGCTCTATGGCAGGATGAGGCGTATGACGAAATCTAAGTGAAAGATTGTATTCATTCACTCGTGATGACAACAGTCTCATAAATAAAGGCATGTTGTAGTCTTCTATTAGGCCTTGAGTATTGTAAACTTCTACTGATGCAGAAGTTGAAGAAAAGTCAAGCAATTTTGGCTTTTGAGTTCAAAAGGACTGCATTAACTACATTGAGTTTGTAAATAAGCACATAGCGTGAGACTATACCAAGTTCTAAACTCGATTTCTCAGCCCTTTTTCGTCAATGGGGGCCATCGCCTTCGAACTCGGATATTCTGATATGGTTAGAGCAGAAAGAAAGTAATGTCTCACCCTGCATGTTCAGTTCAGTGGGTATTTGAATTATGTCACCGAGATGAGGTTATAGCATCGACAGGGTTTACGAGAGGGAACGGTGCTACATGCAGGAAGATGGATAATCTAGCCCAATACAGTGATGTAAACAAGTGAAGAGGATGCAGTATGCATTTGAAGCGCCTGAAATGATGGAACTTTTGCAGAAGCAACGCTACCCTCCTGGTACAGTGTTTTATAACGCACAAGCATTAAAGGTCAAGACAAAAGAAATCGCTAGAGTTATTTTCAAGTCCTTCAAAAGTCAATTAATAGAAGAAATAGTAGGAGCCTCGCAAGATCTACCACGAAAACTTCTGCCCAGTTGCCTCCTCAGAGAAAGCCCACAGCTTCTCAGCCTCACTGCTCGAAACAGCCAACGGCATCGCTTCAGTACTGATTTGACAGTCAGCAAGAAACGCTCCATAATTCTCACTTCCTTCATGAGTCTCCCCAACACCATTCGCAAGCTTGGGATCCAAAGCAGCAACAAGACTAGTCGAAGCTCCAGCTTCTACCGACTTGGTAGTAAAGAACCCCACCGACCCCATCTTCTTAATAGCCTCCAACGTCTCTCTCGGAAAGTTTCTTCCCAGTTCAGTCGTCCTGATGACACCAGGGTGAACAGAAAGAGTGAGAATACCGTGCTTTTCAAAGAGACGCTTGTTAGCCTCGATGCCGAAAAGGACGTTGGCGACTTTGCTGCGGTTATACCCATCGAGCGGAACATAGGCAGTTTCTTCAGTATTTTCGTATCCCCAGACTTTAAAGAACTCGTAATTTGGCTGCTCCTCTTGAGGGAGGTCTTTATTCTTCTTATCAAAGTTCATGTCGCTCCAGCGCATGCTTGACTTTGTAGGCGAACCGGAGGTGACATTGACGATACGAACGGAACCATTTGGTTTGTTTTCGGATGCTTTGATGAGCTTGGGCATCAGGAGGCAGCTAAGTAGCCAATGGCCGATGTGGTTGGTTGCCAGATGCATTTCAATACCATCCTTGGAGAGAGTGCGCTCTTGAACGGCCATGACGCCGGCGCTGTTGATGATAAAATCAATAGCAGGAATATCAGACCATGAAAGGGCTTCTTTGGCCGCGTTGCGGACGGCTTCTTGACTAGAGAGATCGACCTCCAAGAATCGGTAGTCTACATCTGGGAACTCGGCTTTGAGGTCATCGATGCTCTCCGTTGCCTTGGAAGGACTGCGACCGGCGAGGATGATATGGTCCGGATTTTGAGTAGACTTACAATGATAAGTATGTGGAATATTCCAGGAGGGGGGAACTTACAAAAGCCTGCGCGGTTGCAAAGCCAATACCCCCACGGTTGACTCCGGTGATGAGGACAGTTTTGCCACGGAGACCGGTGGAAAACGCTTTGGCAACTTCAATAGCTTCGGTATTAGCTCCAAAGTCTGTGTGTGTGGTTGATGCCATGGTGATAGATGAGAACGTGTCTTGCAGTGTAGAAGTAATAACCTGAGTATGATGTGGATGTCTATAGAGGTGACTGATGTCTGTATTGTCTGGGTGCGATCATCCTCTGTATATATACCCAAAGAACTCTTCCTTGAGCGTCTGAATATTCGCAAAACATCGAAGCCTTGCTCTCAAATCATCCAATACAAGACTTGCTACCCGATTCGGAAGCCATCTCAACATGTCAAATGGAGATCCTGGCGCCACTATAGTCTCACTTGAGCCAATGAGAGATTTGCTACCATATTCGGTTAGAGGTCCTCGGCACATTTCAGAGACCTCATTGGCTGGTTATCTTCCCAGGAGTGAAACTTGAACGGAGTTAACGGATTTCTTTCATTTGGCCTTTAACTCCATGAAGTGATTACACGTCCATCAAGCGGACTTGATCCCATAGCTTCCGGATTGGTTCATCATGGATAGCATTCAGCCACGGAAACTTCGCTAAACATCCCTTCACTTGCTCCCAAGCCATGATGCCAAGCAACGAAGCTTGCTCTCGAAGTGCCTCAATAAACCACTCACGACCATCCGGAAGTGAAACTGAAATCCCTCCCAAGTTGAGAAGCCAGAACTTGACCTCATCCTCATGCTCGCTCAATTTGGACTCAATGGCCTCCTTCACAAGAGCCATGATAAGTCCCCGTCGAGCAATGCGAAACTGCGTATTATTGAAGTGAATCGATATCATAAAGAGGCATAACCCGATATGATAAGTAGACTGAGCATCCTGCTTGAGCCTAGACTCATAAATCGTACGGAATTGGAGCAGTCGATAGCAGATTGATACCAGGACTTCTTGAAATTCAAGGAGATCGAGGGGTTTCTCATCTTGGTGTTTGTTGAGCAGTCTGCACAAGCCCATGGTGTCAGAGAATGCTTCTTGGATGATTGGGCCAAGTTGGTTGGAGTATGCATCTGAGTCTGGCTGTAAATTAAATCCCTTGTATGCCAAACTGCGTTTTACGTGATATATATGGTCTCGATGAAACAGCGGGTGTCCGCCTTGTTGCATGGCAAAGAGAATATCGGTCCTTTAGACATCAGCAACTAGCCATTCAAAATTGACAACATATCAACTCACCGGCAAATCTTGACAGTAATCACAGAATCCCCAATATTCTCTAGCCCGCCACGAAGGTCCACTATCTTCTTCAAACCAGCCATATGTGTCTCAGCAGCCGCGTAATGCTCTGCTGCCTGCTCTTGATTGATAAGAGCCATGATTATCGACATTGTATGATCCGATAGCGCTTCTTTGCTATTCAATCTCACCTTGAGCTGGTCAAGAGTCTGAGATATACAGCTTAGCGAATTGGTGCAGTTGTAGCCTATGCCTAGATATATCTCGTTTGACGCTTGGATGAGCGCCAGAGAGCAGTCGTAAGCTTTGAATTATTAGCCAGTTCAGCATGTACTGGGTCTTATTACTTGCATGCTTTGTCGTGAAACATAATCTCGAGCCATTTGAATTTGTCCTTCTCAATAGAAAAGCCCAACTGAACTGGATAGACATGTCCGACTGTCACGTTAAAGACTAGTTTGTCAGCACAACTCGCCAATTTTCATGAGCATCGACTCACAATCGTCTATCGCTTTCCCAGCAACCTTTGTCACGGGCACAGGGAACGGGAAGCTGAAGAATTGAGTCGCAAGCGGCCTAGGAATTCTTTCCATTGGCCGACACTGAACAACTTGGTTCGTCCGCGATGGTCGATGAAATGTTTTGCCTGCATTTTTGCCCTTCATTACATGTCGTCGCATGAGCTTTTTCGAAGTTTTGTCGGCATTTAAGCCGTCCACGAAAAAGAAGTTTTGCTCCATCTGAGCATTTAGTGGTTGCAGGAGTGAGATTTTATGATGTCAACGTAAGCAAACTCCGTTTCGGTATAGGCGACCGCCTGATGTGCCCGTTCAATACAACCTTGAATTCCGGTATCATGAGTACCTACCTATATAAAACAATCAGCGCCTCCAAATTTAAGATGGGGAATTTCACAATTAATCATAGACCAATTTCAGCTCATAATTCGTCTTCTCATTTTATCTACTCTACATAAACTCGCTCATCTCTCATAATACAGACTTTTACAGTTATACATCCTAAACGGAAACAGATCCGCAAGGACCGCCAGCATGGCTGTGTCCGCTGGATCGCTTCAGAACAGAAGCGACCTCAGCATCCCATCGTCGAGTGTTGTGGGTAACCTTGGGGAGGCTCTTCCAGGTCTTGGCATATCGAGCAACAGAGTTAGCGATGGCCTGGGTGTTGACGAGGAAGGCCTCCTTGTTGAGGTTGTTGATATCGTCGCCAATCTTGTGGTAGTTGATATCGTAAGCGACACCAGCCTCGCCACCGAACTTCTTGGCCTCCTCCTCGGTCTTGAGCTGTTCGGCGCCGGTGAAGAGACCGCCGGAGGGAATACCGTTCTCGATGAAAGCGGCGTAGTCGGAGCGGCCGCTGAACTCGGAGGGAACGTAGCCGAGACGCTTGGTCTTGAAGAAGCGCTCAAAGTCCTTCTCGATGGCGTCGGATCCAGCAGGGCCGGTGAGGTTGAAGGCGCTTCCATCACCGTCGTAGATACCGTAAACATAGTTGGGACTAGCAATCTGAAAATTGTCAGTATTTGATTTTGTTAAAAGAATGTTTTAGAGTCTTACCATATCGAAGTTGAGGTAGGCTCGGATCTTGGCGACTTCAGCGTCAGAACCGTTGATGCTCTTCATGTAAGCATATGAGCCGAGAAGACCAAACTCTTCAGCACTCCAGAAACCGAAGCGGACGGCGTTCTTGACGCGGTACTTGGTGAGAGCCTGGGCAACCTTGAGGATACCAATGATACCGGAACCATCATCGCTAGAGTCTGTTAGCATTGAGGAATTTAAAAAATATGTTGGGGACTTACTTAATACCGGGACCAGCAGCAACGGAGTCAGAGTGGCCTCCAACAACGAGAACGTTGTCGTGGTCACCCTCCTTGGTCTCAGCAATGACGTTGAAGGTAACGCGGTTCTCAACGGTAGCATCAACCTTGAGGTCAACAGTGACCTCACCAGCCTTGGTCTTGGCAAGGATAGCCTGACCATCCTCCTGGCTGATACCAACAATGGGAGCGAACTCGCCAAAGGGCTCACCAAGAGTACCAGCCAACTCGCCAGGAACGTTGTTGTAGACAATGACAGCGGCAGCTCCGGCAGTCTTACCATTGGCAGACTTCTGAGCGAAGGGGCACGTTCCTCGAAGAACGAGAACAACGTTGCCCTTAGACTCGGCGGGGAAATCGCTAGCCTCACAGCCAAGGTTCTCAGCAACGACAAGAGGACCAGAAGCCTCACCAGCGGGGGTGTAAGTCATGATGGCAGCAGTGATATCATCGCCGTCAACCTTGAGGGAGGCAGTACCAGCAGAGTACAGCTCAGTGAAGGGCTGCTTCTTGACATTGTAGTAGCCAGTCGCCTTGAGGGTCTTATAGAGCCAGTCGACAGTGGCGTTGTGACCAGCTCCACCAAAGACACGGGTGTTGCCGTTGGCCGTGGCGATGTCCTGGAGCTTCTGAGCGCCGGCCATGAGGTCCTTGATGTTGATGTCCTTCTGGAGCTTGAGCTCGTTGACGAGGGGCTTCTTGGTGGCGCTGGCCGCCAGGGCGAAGAGGGGGAGGGAGAGGGTGGTGAATCTCATCTTGACTTGACTGGACTGGACTGAGCTGCAAAGAGAGGGATGAGGAGTGAGGAAGGGGATTTCTGAGGGTGGAAATAGTTGATATTTATATGTTGTCGATCGTACGGAATTAAATTTCATTGTAATCTACTCGTCACAAACCCATACCATTTCGTGATAGCACAACGTGCATGCACGGCACTTCTGCATAGCCCGGAAAATGTCCCACGAACCAATGACCCTCTCACGGCCGCGGGATCCAAATCAGGCAGTTCCAGGGATGTCTCTGGCGATCGAATCTTGGCGTCGTGTTTGCTTCCCCGCAGGAACTGCCTCTTCCAGGAACTAGCGCCGACTCGGATCCCACGTCGCCTGGAACTTTTGGAGTATTCGCCAATCCGACCTATGTTGATAACGGCAGGTCGCAGGGATCATCAACGGCTTGGCAAGATAGGCCAATGGTGGTCACGAGAGATAGAGTAATGACTAGCGCAGTGATAGAGTTGGCGCTGGGCATTAAGCATCTTTCTACGCTTATTCGTCGCATCGACAGGGATCTGAGATAGAGATATGGGTGTTTATCAGCCACCGCGAAATGACATGATGATCTTTTCTAGGCTCCATCCAAGCATTCCCCTCTTTCTCGACCCTCGGCGGACTTTTGTAAACGCTTGCAAAAAAAGCCTGTTTGGTCAAGTTTTGGGACTCACCGGTTCTTTTGCCATCAGCATGGTTCAGCGAGATAAGAAACCTTGTCGTCAATTGAGTTGTGCCACAGGCTAGTGTATTTCCGAATTAGTAGTGTTTATCCGAGTGTGGCTGGTTACGATGACGATCTGCACTGTTGTGAGATGAGGATTCTTTCGCGATGCAGTGTTGCAGTGCGTTGGATGATGGATTAATGCGTTTTGAGGAATGATCTACCGGTTCGTTGAGGCAAGATGTAGTGTAACCCAGCCTTGTGAGGCGAATTGACTTTGTGGATGCCATCTCACGGGAATGTGGACTAGATGGGAGAAGATCTGGCTGTACCCTGTAGTTCAACGCATATCAGAGCAGTCGAGGATGTTGCGGTTTACCGGCGCAACGGGTGGCTATCCGTAGTATGGTTTCATTGCAGGGCGGAAGGGCTACGGTCCTCCTGTCATCCAGGCTTTAGGTGTGTCCTTATGGACATGTGTAGGGTTTGAGTTTCTGTCCCAAAAGCTTGGTAACTAGGATGAGGACATGCAGTACTAAGTACGCATTTTTGAAGCTACGGTACTTGATCTTTTAGCATTAAAACGTCAATTATCTTGTCAAGGCACTGCTGATGATCCATTTTAAGGTGTGTTTCATTCTGCGAAACAACTTCAAGAGTAGATTCAGCTTCATACACTCGAATTTCAGTACCTAGCTGGAATACATCGTAGCTCTATCTAATCCTCCAGGCTGTATTCCTCTTCTCGCCAATTTCTGATGTTCTTACCTCCTTTCTCGACCAAAAGTTTTGATACTTTTTTTGGCAACCATTTGGAAGATAAACAATATGCAAGAGGTGACCAGCCTTGGATCGACAAAGCGTTAATATCAATTTCACGATCCAGCAAAAAGGGGCAGAAGTCCCTGTTTCTACCATCCACCTGATGAAGCATTGTTTCCCCATTATGATTTCTGGTATTGATATCAGCCCCCCTGTCTATCAAAAACCTTGCTACATGGAGATGTCCACGTTCAAAAGAACTTAGGAGTGCAGTCTCTCCTTTGCCATCTCGTGCATCTATAATAACTCCATGGTCAAGTAACAAATCAGCGTGAACTATTGACTCTTCAACCTGGTGTAAAGCTGTGGAACCGTTGTTATCTTGAGAGTTGACATTAGCCCCATGGTTTATCAGTAGAGATACGATATCAATAGTTGCCTGGCAAACCCTTCTTCGAGTTACCATTTGGAAAGGCGACGTTCCTTTATTGTCAAGGGCATTTACATCAGCTCCCTTATCGATCAACATTCCTACAATCTTGACGCCATAAGACAAACAAGCGTGCAGAGAGCTACTTCTCTTCTCGGTCGATTGCCCTAAAACATTGGGATTATAAGGCAAACAAGCCGTGTGTAGAGGGGTCAAACCCTTTGAATCTTTGACGTTTGCATCGATCCCACTATCAAGCAGAAGATTGACAGTTCGAAGAATATCCCGGTCAAAGCTTATTCGTACCTCCAGAGCCAGATGTAGAGCAGTTCTTCCGTCTTTGGTCCGGGCATGCGCATTAGCTCCGTAACGTAATAAAAGTTCTATCCCTTCTGGATTGCCCCGCTGCGCTGCATAATGGAGTGGCGTCCAGCCATCGTCATTTATTGCATTTACATTGGATCCCGCAGCCAGAAGGGCGCGGATGACATCTGTATTTGATGCAACGTGTAAAGGGGTACGGCCCGAAATTGTCCTCTTGTCGGCTAAATCTCCGAGACCCAGCAACCTTTCTACAACGGTAACTCTGCCGTTCTCAGCAGCTTTGTGAAGGGCAGTTTCTCCCAGATAATCAAAATTGTTGTAGTCTGCTCCGTGATCCAAAAGCATGTGTGCGATAGAGTCGCTTGTGACTTTATGTGAGCAAGCTTCAAGCAATAATGGATACTTTGGATGGCCACCAAATCCCTCTACAATCGAATTGACATCCACCCCTTCATCTAAAAGTAACCGAACGACTTGCTCATGCCCGTTAACAACAGCAAAACGCAGGGGATCACTGAAATTCAAGTCAACACCAGCTTCTTTCAACAAAGTCTGGGACATATGCCTATGCTTCCAGAGTAAAAGCTTATGTAGCTTCTCGACTACCCAAGAGAAATCGGGAAACACTCTCCTCATGTCATAATCTACTGCATGTGAAAACCCTCTCAGGATATGCTGATTATGATCTTCTGATGCGGCTCTGAGGTTAGCAATCTCATCAGTATAGGCGTGGTTTGTCATGGCATCAAGAAGAGTTGTTATCACTCTCTGATGACAGCCTAATAATGCCCTAACAAAGGCCATCCCAACATATATGGACGTAGTAACTTTTAGCTCCTTTTTAAGATTCAAGACCTGACTGAGGTCAAACTCATTGTCAAGAAGCATCTGCACAGCATACTCATTTCCCGATTGTGCTGCAAGGACAAGGCAATTGTGGCGAATTTTGCTATCTTCTATCCAATCAAGTTTCATATAGTCATTCTTATAATGCCTGTATTTGAAATCAATCGGGCGGTCTGGCTGTGCACCTCGAGAAACGAGGAGTCGGATCATGTCACTACGTCCAGCCTCGCATGCTTTCAAGAGGGCATTGTTTACTTTGCTTGTATCATAGCCATCTGGCGTAGAATCGAGTAACCGTCGTACAAGTTGGTCTGTACCACTAAAGGCTGCCATTTCCAATACGTGGTTGTTGATAGGTTCAGCCTCGCAAGCCCCCCAGCCCATGAGGAGCTCGACTATCACAGTATGGCCATTTTCGACAGCATATAGAAGAGAATCCTGCATTCTGACATCATGTCCAGCCTTAAGTAGATCTTCTACGATCTCGAAGTGGCCATTTTGAGATGCCGCACAAAGAGCAGACGTTAAAAAACCTCTCCCTTCTGCGGTATCTCCGCTTATGTCGGCTCCGGCTTTGATTAGCTTTCGTACAAGCTCGGTTAATCCCGCTTTTGACGCCTTATAAGCAGCACTACCATCGAGATCTGACGTATCAGGGCTAACACCATAATCGAGGAGTACCTCAGCAACTTTTGGGTGCTTATTGAAAATTGCCCCCATCAGACAGACTTCTTTCTCATCAGCTGGAACGTTGAACTTGGCATCTTGCATCATATAGGCGACCGTGTTCTGGAGCCCACCCAGGCACGCGTTAGAAAACCCATCATCGGCTCTCCCATGATACCCTATTCTTGGATACAGCCTTTGATACCGTTCCCTAGAAGAACAATACCAGTCTTCTGATGGCTGTTGGGAGATACGATTTTTTTGACAGTCTGTGCTTTTCTAGCGAATTCACGCCAGACATTTTCCGCGCGTATGGCTAAGGGAAAGTCGGCACGAACACGATAGAGTGGTTCTTTGACACCGCACAAATAACTAATCAATGTCTCCGTAATAATTATCGCAGAACTCAGCTCACAGAAAGCATCAAGCTTTGTCAGATACTCCTTCACAGAAAAGTGCGTGAGATGCACTTCTGCCCAGCAGCATTTGTCATCGTTTTCATCGACATCTCCATCTGAGACTGTTACGATGTGTATCATACCAGGGCAGTATCTTACGATATGAGAAGAGTTGAAAAGTCTATTCTCTGGATCAAACCTGAGTCGGTTTTGATGCCGGTCTGGGCGAGTGGCTAAAATCTCGACAGCCTCGGCTGGGCTCAGAGGTTGCTCACAATTCACTATAAACTGCAACAGGCGGATTGAGTCATCTTTGTATTGAGGAGGTATGCTTTCCATCATACGATCGTATGTTTTGGGTAGATCGCGTGGTAAGGACACGAGAGCTTCACGGACAGCATTTGGAGTTAGACAAGCTTCGAGAGTATCTATCTGACAAGCTGCCCATCGAAACCTAAATGTATCATTAGTATTTCTACACCAAGTCCATTTTTATATTTGATGCAACATACATTCCGTCTGCTCCCTCTCCAACTTTGGCACAGATTTCCTTGCGCAACTCTTCACTCAAGGCTTTCTCAATGAATCTTGGGTTTGTATCAAGGACTGAACGAACATAGAACTTAATGTCACCGTTGACAGCAGTCTTATCTAAGTTTATACAATTCTCTTTTCCAAAGAAACGAAGAGTCTGAGATTGAATGTCGTCTTCAGGCCTGGCGGTCAGGAGCAATTGCACATTTTCCACTGCAAGCCGCCCGATCCAAGAGAGAAGGGAATCTCTTGATCTACACTCATCCAAAGCGTCAATCAAGATGAACGTGCGATCGAAAGTTCTCAGAATTGATTGGATGTATGCTTCCAACTCTGACTCGTCTGGAGCTTTCAAACCCTTTTCGTGTGATGTGAATAGCCCATAGAGCTTCGCTAATGCAATTTCCCCTCCATATTGGCAGAGTTGGAATGCCAATGACCGGAGAAGTCCATCGAGAGTTTGTTTCTCAGCATCGTTGAAGTCGAAGTAGTGTACTAGTGTGATGATGCCATCCATAGCACTGAGATCGTCTAGGATTTGAGAGCTTAGGACAGTTTTCCCGCAGCCAGCCAACCCATGGAGCCATAAATGCTTTCGTGAGCCTGCTTTAAACTCCGTGAAAGCCGGGCTCTGGATGAACCACTGACCAGTGCCATCATGGCGGCGCTTCTTGGCCTTGGCTACATTGGTTGACGACCTTGGTGGCTTGAGCCAGCGTTCTATCTCCAGACGCCGATTATCTGCATGCATAGTGTTTACGGTGGCATTCGTGTCCTTCACACTTGTAGTAATATTTTCCAATTTAATTCCGACTACAAAACTGTTTAGTAACCTTGATCTTTTCCAATCTCAAATGCTTACTCACATTCGCTGATGACTTTCGCAAGAGGCTTCTCCTTCTGTATCTTGGTTGGCGCAATCTTCTGAAGCAACTCCTTCGCATATGCTGCAGCAGTCATTGCCGCAAAACCCTGCCATTCTTTATTTTTGTGTGAGTCGGCATAGTCGCAGATCCCACGGATAATCAGACAGGGGAAGTGGTTCATCAAGCCAGCTGCTTCCGTCTCAAAGCATAATACTCCCTCATCCCTGGCTAACTTATCCCGGACAGTTGCGTCCTTCATGAGCTTATCAGAGCTGGCAATGAGACCATAATGGATCATTGGGTCATCTTCATCATCGCCTCGGCCCTCTCTGGAGATGACGTTTTCCTCGCCACAGTTGTTTTTACATGCTGTAGATTTTGGAGATTCGCTATGAATGTGGCTGGATTCATAGAGCCTGTCTGTCGCTGCTAAGGGACGAGCATACCGTTTCCTGAGGCGAGGTCTTTTGCTGAGTGCCTCTTCGATTCTTTCGTTCAGTTCATGGCCTTGACCTTCATAATCCGCTTCTAGTGCCCCCACAGCGGTCAACAGAAATTGGGGTGGTTGGTTCAATGACCCAGTCAAGTGGAACTCTTGTTGCTGAATTGTCTTGCCGCGGTTATGATGAAGGACTCCCCCTTTCGCTCCCGAAGGGACGCTAACTACGACATCTCCAAGACGGATATCATGCTCAGGGCGCGGAGCGCCACCACCAATACCGACCATAAGTCCAACACGAATATTGGGAAAGGTTCGTAACATGTCTCTGGCTACAGACGCAGCTGGGGCTATGCCGTATTCGGCTCTGGGTAAGGATGCCACGATAACATCATGCTTCCCCATTCTCCCGAAGGAATAGCTGTTGTTGTCTCCGGGAGCTTGTGCGTCTAGAGTCACTTCGTACTCTTCATCAAAAAAGCTTTTTGCCGCAACTAGCTCTGTTGTCAAGGCGCAGATCCACCCAACAGTGTAGGTTGAAGGGCTGCCATTTCGTTGTCTGTTCTCAGAGGGTTGACTTTGTTGAGTCTTGACTATGAGATTTAAGAAATGGCTTGAGTTCTTCCAGATGATGAGAGGAGGGGGGCTTATATAGTCCATTTTGAGCTCTGGAAGGTTCTCTGCTTGTTCAAACAGCACCAGCATGTAAGGCAGCGTACAAACATACAAGAGATGGCTGTGTTTGAAGTTTTTGCAAACGAAGCAATGAAGAAAGTTGGTTTTCCTACTAAGTAGATAACGGTCATCTCTACATGATGAAAAGGCAGGATACCCCGACGGCTTTTAAGCTATCTTATAATGTCACCAATATATCGTCGATTCAAACACTTGAAACGACAAGTGACGGTTACACCGTTCAACGTTCAGTCACTGGTCACATGAGAAGCAAAAGTGTACTCAAATTAATCAGGCTTATCCAGCTTATAAAACGGATATATGCTCTAATTCCAAAGTTTTATGATTAACACCAGCTACAATCGGTTTGTTGAAGCACATTTACGTATCGGGGCGCCTTAAGCGAGCCGCTTGTCGGTTAGTAGAATAGCATCAACGCGTAAGGCAACATCAAACCGTAGCAACCGATAACAATCCAATTTTGTCACCTTCACCAATATCCAACATGGAAGCCGGACATACAATTGCTGATGGTAGTACCAGGCTCCCAATCGAGATCATTTTGTTGATAGTTGAAACCCTGATTCCTCCGTATGATGGGTCGCGACCGATCCTCCCCGCATCACATCCTATCACGAAAACACTCGTGTCTTTGACGAGGGTGTGCAAAGCAATACACCCCACTGCTAGCAAACTCATTTGGCAAAACTGTCTCTACATCGATAGAAAGTCAAAGCTCCGCAGGTTCAGACGTTACATTTCGCAAAAGAGCCCAATCACCGGGCGTTCACCATGTGAAGCCTATGGCTCAGCCAAACTATATCTCAGCCCATTACATTACAAGTTTGACACTGCCTCTACTTATGGGGCTATCGCTCCGTCTGTTCGTCGTGGTAAGGAGAAGCCTGGTCGTATGAGCGACGGCTCGGACAGTGACATGGAAACTGATCAGAGCGATGAATGGGCTAATGGGTCACAAACTGGGGGCCATCGCGCACCTCGTTCAATATCCCCTGTGGATGATGGATATTCGGAATACTCAACTCACAATTGGAGAGACGCGCCAATGCAGGACCTCCGAACGATCCACATTCTCAAAGACGTTCTCATCACTCTTGCACCAGTCCTGAAGATTATCATCGTTGATATGCCCTTGAGAGATTTAAGTCCTACACAAAACGGGGACATCCTGGAGCCACTTAGACAGGGATTTGAGGCTCTGGTCAATATCGAAGAACTTATCAGCGTTAAGGACGAATTATACGTGGATACGGATACTGAAGTTATACAACCTCATGTCTTTATCAAATGGCCGAAACTGCGGCGTTTATGTCTGTACAACGTCATGGCTGCGGATACATTCTTCGAGGATATGGCCTCATGTCCACAATTAGAAACGGCTGTTTTCGTGCGGCCTGATCTCGCCGATGATGTTAAAGGGGAATGGGCGGCGGCGTGGGCCAAAATCAACCGCCAGGACACGAAGGATGACGGTCCGGTGTATCAAGGGCCCAAAATCTCAATGGCTTTCTGCGACTGGCCACCCTACCTATATGACTTCAGTAGCAAGATACCTCACTGGCAAGAAGTAGACCCCGACAACAAAATCATTGTCTCAACTGTGGCTACGCATCAAAGATATGATAGAAGATCAAGGAGAAGGGGTCCGATCGCCTCATGCCAGGATTGGATCAGGGATCACGCTTTACGTGGTACGATTTGGAGTGAAGTTGAGACCAAGTGCCAGCCTGTGACTCCGCCAATAATGTTTGAGGGTCAGGTTGAGGACGACGACGATGAATGGGTTGATGACGACGATGGCGAGGACTGGAGTGACGATAATTCCGATTTATGGTGATAAATCCAAGACTGACTTGAAGAAATTCGGCAGACTTTAACTGCTTCAAGCTCACTCTGCCTGTCAAAGTGACACGCAAAAACCCTGTCAATTTCTCGGTATCTCTCAATGCTACGTGCTCACTGGGGCTTGTCCTTGGTCTCATCAACCTGCAACTCAAAGAAACTCTCAATCAAGCTCAACGTGATCATAGCACTCGAAAAAAGAAGTGAAACCTCATCACCAAACTTGACATCCTCCAATGGATCCCTCACCAACTTCGCATCCCGATCAGCATCCAGCTGTCTCTTGGGCAACTCCTCCGGCAACGGGTGGAACGGAAGGCCAGACGGTAGCTTCTGCGGCTCTTGGGGCTTATCGCCTGGGAATCCTCCAAAGACATCGCCGCCTTCTTTGGGAGTGTCGGGTTTCTTACTCAAGAGCTCAATTGCTTTTTTATAGGCTGCGTTGTCGGGGTCTTGCTTTTGAAGGCCTTCGAACATAAGATATACTGCGCGGATGACACTCTCGAGGGCGCCGACAATCCATGCGTGATGGGACGAGGATGCTTCGCCGATGAGATACAACTGGCCGTAGGCGTTGGGCTTGATGATCTCTGACCACATGTTGGAGAATTGACTTGGTCCAAAGTATGCGAAAGCACCAGACATATTCTCGTCTCTGTACCAGTCGTACGCATGATGGTCCTGGTATTGATCCTTGAGGAGAGCGAGAAGCTGATCATACGTGTAGTCGCTCTGCTTCGAGTGCAACAGCGCAAGATCATGAAGAAGCACAGAGAGGAGTTGCTCTTCATTCTTAGGCGTCTGGGGTGAGATCAGAGATCCGATGCGCTGCGCATCCTGGCCCCAGGTATAAGAGCAGAGAAGAACAGCAGGCTTGTTGGGATCCCAATCCTGGCCTTCGTTGGACTCAATGTTGTAGGACGGATACACGCAAACCCGAAGAGGAAGATCAGTGTGCGCAATCCCACCTTTCTTGATGTTGAATGGAGGCTTCTGCCACCACGCAGTCTCAAACTTGATACCAACCTTGCACGAAGCACCATATCCCAAAGCCCGAATGGCCTGCTTGGTGCCCCAGAGAAGACCCGCGTCCTTGAGATCCATTCTCTGAAGAGCACCGAGCGTCGTACTATTGAACACGGCAAAGTACTCCTTTTCCTTGACAACCTGGTTCTTGTTGATGCGGAGTTTCATCGACGTGAAGTCCTCGGGTTTGCGTTTCTTGCGCTCTTCGACTTGCGCATCTATGGCGACAACTTGGCTGTTGTACTGGACAGGCTGTTTGATCATTTTCGCCATACGATGCGCGATGGTCTGGGCACCTCCATCGATACACCACCAGTAATTAGTGGGCTGGCCGTCGATTGATTTGTGGGTTGCGAAGTCGAGTTCTTCAAGAACACATTCCGTGAGGGATTGGTCATACCAGCCAGTTCCACTGAGAAGTGTCAGTAAAGATGCCAGGGAACCATGCATTCTACTCACTATGTAGCAGACTCGAGCCATTCAATGGTGTTATAGTTGTACCCCGGCCCCTCGGGAATGGGACCAGAATTATCCTTGGGTTTGCCCTCCCTCTTCTTCCTGTCGCCATCTCCTCTACCACGACGTCAGTCTGCTACAAATGTCCACTGGCACACTGGGATACTCACGAAGAGAGGAACTGGCGAGTGCTAAGCTTATCAGCCTCCATGAGAAGGGCCCAAAGCTTGGTTGTCTCCGGTCCCTTTTCATCATTCTCTTCAACAGCCTTCTTGAACTTCTCTGCAGCCACCTTGATGAAGTCTTCCAAAGCCTCACTGACTAGGTCTGAAGGGTTCACTTGGAGTAGGCTATGTTATTGTTAGTGACCTGTCTGGAATGAAGGAAGGAGACGCACTGAACGGGGATCTTGGCTTTATCAGGAAGACCCTCGTTGATCTTGAATGGGTCATTCGCTTCAGCCGTCCAGACGTTCCCGACGCCGGAAACGTCATTGAAGTATGTTGGGCAGACATTGTCCTCATCTCCGATGTAGTATGGGATTAATCCGCCTTTTCCTGGCTTGAGGCCTATGTAATTGAACAGCTGGAAAGTTCTGCAGCATGTGAGCGATCGCAATGACAACGATCCTTGGGAGACGTACCTCTTCATGATGGTGTTGTTGGGGAATCGCATAGCTCCAACATCATAGTAATCATGCTCGCCATGCGAAAATCGATGCGTATACAACCTTCCTCCCAGCCTGTTCATCTTCGCAGCCTCTATAATGTCGTACTCAATCTTCAATCCCTCCTTTTCGCACTGCTCGTTCAGCCAGTCAAATACCATGGCAGTGAAAAGTCCAGCGACACCGGCGCCGATGATACCAATCTCAAGATGGTTGGACTTTCTGGGGACGAAGCCAACACCAGTGAGCTTCTGGGTCTTGTCAAGAATCTTACTGACACCTTCGTCTTCATGAACTTTCTTTGGGAAAAGCTCGGGATGCTCTTGTTGAGCTTGGATCACGCGCTTGGTGGCGGCTTGGACGTCGTCTTCGAAGCCTTTCTGGGCGACGTGTCGTGCCCACATGTGCTTGAAGGCACGGGTATGGAGGTGATGTTCTTCAGCTGGGAGAGACATGATGAAGACAAACTAGCAGTCACAGATAATGGGCTGTTTCCTTTGACAAGGACAGACCTGTTTGCCGGGGACTTGTGCTCTATTTATGCAGAGCCTATTGCTAGCTAGTCTGGCCATGGAGGTTCCCATCCGGAAAGCTCCATCACAACACCAACATAGTGGCTAGCTGAGACAAGCAATGTGATAACAAACGATGAACCGACTCTTTTAGTGAACCCCGCTTCATCTAAGACTTTCATCACACACCGGTGAACTTCCCCGCAGATGACTGCGTTTTCTTACCGACGAAATTATCGATGCGTTCGATTCAAGCCTAGAACACCAGATCTCACGGGCCGTAGCCGTTCCTAGCGGCATCAATACGAACCAAAGGCCCTCCAGCTCTCAGAATAATTGGATGCTGTCCAAATGTGGCTGACTGGATTGAGACTATTGGCGACTAACGACTAATACGGCTATCATGTCTTATGCTGGGGTTAGTGATGATGATGCTTCGTCTGAGGTGCATTAGACTGCTG